TAATGGTAACTATGTAGGACCTTATGGTAATTATATAAGACCTATATGGGAACTATGAAGTAAAGTATGGGGACTATGTAGGACCTTAAGGAAATTATATAGGATCATGTTAACTATATAGTTTGGGAAGCAACTAGGTCTGTACTGTAACTTAGAAGGTCTTGAACTGAGTAGGACCTTTTTAAGAAGCAGATTGAACCTGAAAAAACCATAGTAACTGCTGAATCAATAGCTCGATTAGACCGAACAATTGCCGAGAAAACTGATATTAAAAATCTACCGAAAAAGGCCTATACTATAACTTCAAAGTATACCGAAGTGCTTTGTTCAAGAGGTTCTAACTCTACCAGACCCCGACCCTTCACTGTTTCTCCCTGCCGGGAACACACGACCCCGCCCAATGAAATAACTGAGATCCCCAGCTGCTAGCAATAAAAAAAATATTCTCGCTGTAAGATCAATAGGTCCAAACTCTGATTTGGTTTCACGGATCAACACCACTATATAGTAAGTATATAGTCACTCAATGTCCCAGCTGTCACGTGTTTTAAGTTCTTACAGTAAATAGTAAAGGCTGAACTTACTATTGTGAGTTACTCGGGATGGAGATCTATTGTATTAATAGAGTAGTCAAACTATCGAACAACGCGAATACCACATTGAACTAAAAATCTAAATCATCAGTTTAAACAGCCTTAGTCCATTTTTATTTTAAACCCACAAGATATTAAAAGAGTTGGGTCGGCCAAGGCAGGCATATATTTAAATCAAGCATACATTTGTACACGCGAGAGAGGGAAGACAGGATCATGAACCTGCTCGCGATGGCTTGTTTCCTTTATATGCCGTATATCAATCAAAAGAGTTAATGATGATGACGGCGGTACTGAAACCTAAAATATTAAATTAAATTACCCTCTTGGAACTAAAGGTTAATAGGTAGAGTTTCTTCCAGGCATCTCTTCGGGGGGGGAGGAAGCCCCCCCCCCCCCCGAACGAAATGAAATTTGTATAATTTATATAAAAAATATATACTTTTAACAGTGTCCGCCCCCCCCCCCCCCGAAGAAAGTTTACCGCCCCCCCCCCCCCGAAGATTTCAAGTGCCCCCCCCCCCCCCAGAGAAAAAAGTCGGGAAGAAACACTGTTAATAGGCCCGATGAAGTAGAGTTTAACTGTTTCTGTAACTTTGCCATTATGAAGGGATAGTGTGGTCAGTACTATGTTCAGTCACCTACTTTCTCTAACATGGGTCAAATTAGAGCTGATTTCACCGGGAGATGACAAACAGAGTGTAGCCCGGGATCCGACATTCATGAGAATATTTTATTTATGACATTTCAACCTAAAAATGAAACCAATTAGGCCTAATCAAGCTAAATGAATTGATTGCACCTCTAAAACTATCCCTCCCATAATTTAGAAAAAAATTAAACTTCTAGTTGTCCTACCCATTATCGTAGCGATATTCCCCCCCCCCCCCAACCATTATATATCACCACCAGATAGGCCTACAGGGAAATGTCACATTGTATTTTCCCTAACTGGCACATCAGATTTCATCACGTGACATACAATGACACGTCAGCCAAAGATATCGGATCATGTCAGCTGTACAGTGTACCTCACCATACCTCATCAACCATACCATACTCAACCCTCACCTAACTACAACCCAACCCATACAAACCGTAACCACCCCCCCCCCCCCCGTTTCTTCCTTAGCAAACTAGAACTCAACGAATACAAACAGCATGAAAGAAACCAACATTATATTGTATTCCCTTTCACGTAGACCCCCTTAATATATTCTGCATGCGTGCATACATTATCCAACAGCACGAACAATGGTAGATCTTTTGTACCCTCCCCCCCCCTCTCCCACCAACATGCAACTGAAAAGGTGGGCGGGGCACTTGTTAAAAAATAGAAGTCTCATAAACGCTTGAAAAACTTTGACGAAACAATACTTTTAAAACAATAACCTACATAAGAGGTGTATCCATTTTTAATTCGCCCCGAGAAATTTGTTTTCGATCGTGGCATTAGCGCTGGAGTGAGCTCCTGTGTTCTGTGTATGTGCACGCTTTTGTTTATGGCAGCGCCTTGTTAATATTTGATTCAATTATTGACGCAATAATGCACACCGACTTTTGGTGTTTTAGAATGTTATCAAACAGTAGTGTGTGAAAATAATTCGCACTTTTTTGGTGCTTTTTAATGATATCAAACAGTATTTTATTAGAGCAGATAGTAGGCTTCAAGAGTCGGCTATTTATATGATCAAATAATTAAGCCCTGGTGGCTGAGATTGATTGAATAATTTCAACATAACAATAGGAATGCTCACGTGACTATCAGTCTAAGAATTATATTATTCACTCTTTCAAATTATGAATTAATTGAACCATCAGACCAATTAAACCACCTGTAGATTGGTAATGATAGTCAATGTAATTATGACGTGTGAGTTATTTTCGCCAACATATGACACGACTACCCCCTCCCAGCCCTACCCCCTCCCACTACGCCGTTGAAACTGATACGCTGAACATGTATTGTATGGGCTGTGAATATTACACCATCCGCCTTCTATAATGACTCTCAGCGGAGACTGGGCCAAACCTTACTGTATTATATGACGGCACGCCGCTGAGATGTAGCCCACCACGTGACTCCCGCCAACATGTCTGCTGCCACAGACGACCCAGGCAGCACGTCGGAGTCCCACTGAACTTTACGCGGATGTTTTATTCAGTCAGCGTTTTCCAGAGGTCGCTCACACACCGGGTCGTGAGTTGGTTTTTGTTTTCATTAAATTTTAACCCTCATTCCATCCCTAGCCTCATCCGTCCCCACTCACTCCCCATCAATGTCACTCAGTCCCCACATCCCCATCCATTTTACCCATCCTCCAGCAGCTCCACTCATCCATCCTCAGCCGCCTCCAACCACCCCTGCTCACTCCCCATCCATCCACAACCACCCCCGCTTACTTCCCCACCCATCCCCATCCATATCCACCCACTCTCCCACCCAAATCTCTAACTACACAAAAAAGCAGCGTTTAATTAAAATTGTGAGACTGGCAGAGTACAAAGATAATTTAATTTTCTAGAGGCCTAACTCTTCAGATTTAATGTCATGTTTGATTAGGGGGAGGGGGAGGGGGAGGGGGAGAGTTGTCCAAATCTACAGTTGTTTGCTTCAGCGACCAAACGAAACCTTTTTTTATATAACCGTGGAGATCAAAGGTCACTGTATTGAGCATGCAACAGTATGGTTTGATGCCGTGTTAGTGTTGGATGTCATCTTCTACCCAGTGTTTTTTCCAGACTTTTTTCTCGCGGGGGGCACTTGAAATTTTCGGGGGGGGGGGGGGGGGGAGCGGTAGACTTTCTTCGGGGGGGGGGGGGGGGGCGGACTCTGTTAAAATTATATATTTTCTATATACATTATATAAATTTAATTTCGTTCGGGGGGGGGGGGCGGTAAAAATCCCCCCCCCCCCCCCCCGAAGAGATGCCTGGAAGAAACTCTGCTTCTACCTCGCAACTCGCCTCCTAAATTCGATAGATGCCAATATTTGTTAGCAGTTTGGCGAAACTGATTTACTTTTCATCACTAGCAGGATACGCCTTCACGTGTTAATAATAAAATATGGGCAATAGGAAATCTGTACTTCCGCCAAGGGGGACCATCAAGACAAACTTGTATGCCGATCACGGAAAGATGAATGCGAGCCACGGAAATATTCAAGCAGCCTAGCACGCAATGTGGCTATTAGGAGCTAATGGGGGAAATGCGAGACACCCAACTGATACGGTGGATAATTCATTACCGATGGCTGTGGTACTCTAAGACACAGCCTTACACAGCAGCATTATATTATCGTGTTAACTTGTTTAGTTTGAAATAAACATTAACCAAAACTTGCATTAAAAAACGCAACATTCATTAACGCCTAACACAGTTACACAGTAGCATTATATTATAGTGCTAACATGTTTAGTTTTAAATAAACATTAACCAAAAACTTACATTATAAAAAAACACAACGTACATTGCGGCTTTTAGAATAAATTTTTGAAGAAATATTTCGGAAAAAAAAATGACACTTCGCCGGAAGAAAGTCGCCGACCACTGTCTAGCACTCATCATAATCCTTGATTTAATCCTTAACCACGCTAGTTGATATATAGCTGCTAATTCAGCAGTTAGAATACTTATTGCTAACACGTTTAAGTAAAAAAATTACAATGTTAATAGCGGACTTGTGGCGGAAATCTTGTTTCATTACTTGTTGGGTAAAAAAAAAAATTACTATAAGAAAGAGTGTATTGCATCCCGTCTGAATGGATTTTCTCAGTCCAATTTTCATTCATTTACATTTACTCCAAGCCATTTCGTTTATTTTGTGCAAGTTATCTGTCCCGGGTGATAATGTAAAAAACTATACTATTGCCATCTAGTTAAATATTTAATCAATTCCCATTTAACCGTCACAAAATTCTATCGTCGTGTCAACACTATACACCAGAACATTTCAAAGTCCTGCAAGGCTTTCATCTGAGTTTCACTCACATCAAATTCTATGAGTGATGAGTTTCAATCACACAAAACATAATAATATGTTTGTTGAGGTTTATTCTCTCTTTCTCTCTCTTTCTCTCATACACACATATGTACACACAAACACATCAAGTCCACTCCGGGTCAATCACGGTCATTAAAAACATCCACATCCACATCCACTGCCTGACTGAATAAATGGCGAACAATGTGCGGGCTTTAATTAACAAAAGCAAAGTCTGCAATTTCCGGTGATTTTAGCCCCTTGATTCCTAGCGGGATGTTTTTAAACGGTGATCGCGTGGTTTTAATGAGTTATTTACTCAAAGGCTCGTTATTGTTGAGTCATTGATCCAGTCACTTGTAACATTAAACCCCCTAGATAACAAATATAAGTAATACCCAGCAATGAGCGATACTATAATAATATGGGGGAACATGGTGAGTAAATCTGGGTAGGGGGGTGACAGGTATCTAATAAATATCTCATTCAATGACGTCATGTGTTGACATTTTCCTCCACCCCTGGCCCACTCATCCTACGTGATGACAATAGTGACGACGTTAATTATTTAAACTCGGCCTCCTCTCCACCGTTACAGTCATTATCATCATCGCCACATGATGACTGCGGCGATGATGCGGCGATGATGATAATGACGATGTTAACTATTTACACTCGGCCTGACCACCCCCCCCCCCACTGTGACGTAACGCCCCTGCTGTCTTCATGTGTCAGTCAGGTAGTGACACGTATGTCAGTCAGGTAGTGACACGTATGTCAGTCAGGTAGTGACACGTATGTCAGTCAGGTAGTGACACTTATGTCAGTCAGGTAGTGACATGATTTGTGTCAGTCAGGTAGTGACACGTATGTTAGTCAGGTAGTGACACGTATGTCAGTCAGGTAGTGACATGACTTGTGTCAGTCAGGTAGTGACGAGACAGGTAGTGACATGACTTGTATCGGTCAGCTTGTCACATGACTTGTATCACAGAGATGATACTTAAGGACAAGTACAGAGTTTCTTCCAGGCATCTCTTCGGGGGGGGGGGCTTTGCCGAAAAAAAATTACCGCCCCCCCCCCCCCCGAACGAAATGAAACTTATATAATTTATATAGAAAATATATACTTTTAACAGTGTCCGAAAATTTCAAGTGCCCCCCTGGAGAAAAAAGTTTGGAAGAAACACTGGACAAGTCCTATACAGAGTTGACTCAGCGTGTATATGTAATATTTCTGACACTTGTCACTTTAACAGACACACATTTGGATCGCTGGTACCCCTGATGACCATAATCCCTCTTTTGTCTAACTCGTCTAACCTCTGATAACGATAATCCCTCTTTTGTCTAACTCGTCTAACCCCTGATGACGATAATCCCTCTTTTGTCTAACTCGTCTAACCTAGGCCTAACCGGCGCTACAGTTTCATCGGTGTAAATGCCTTAACTCTCATAGTCCTTGACCTTTGGATTATGATTCTGACCCTTCCCCACTCCTCAAGTAACATAAACAACTTAAGTACGGAGGGGGGGGGGAGGGGTCGAGTTGTATTGAGGATGTCTGGATCTCGTACCCACGACATGAACTGCTCGTACAATTAATATATGACTTATTGATTAAGGGATTCTGGATTGTCTTCTACGGGGTGAAGGCTCATGCCGGTCTTGGCACAATGGATCGGTTGTCGCCCCTGCCTCTTATTTCTCCATCTCCAAGTGTCGGAGGGTCACAGTTCGAGGACACAGAGGTATATCTCGCCGCTAGAGGCGGTGTAGACTTGTGGAGATCATAGAGCGATGGCCGGCTGATTCAGTTGACAAAAACTCTATATCTTTGTTTTCTGTCTGGTTTGATGCACGAGTCTTGCCGGGGCCGAGCACGCCAGTAAAGCAGGTATTACTGCTGAGGTTGTCAGTGTTGATGGTGTGTCTGTTGATGGTGAGGATGTGGCTGTTGGTGTAGAAGACGTGGTTTTGGTTTTTGATGTTGAAAGTGTGATTGTTAAAGTAGAGGATGTGGCTATTAATCAACTACGTACATAGAAACGCAACTAGGCTTAAATTTGCCGCAACCCCCTTCACCAATCCATAACTAATCCAACCCTGACTTGCACATTAAAGTTGAATGTAAAGCAAATAAATGAATAATTCAAGTGAACAAAACAAACTGTGAGCACCTGCATTTCTGACTAGAATTGTAGGCTCATGCTTTAAATAGCGTTCAAGTTTAAGGATTTAACTCATATAGAGCTATCTGTAAAGTGATTGGGGACATAATACAAAGCTAGTTTTATTTCAATTAATAGTAAAGCCATCTGCAGAGTAATTGATTTAATTAATTGTGGGGTGTATAAGGTCATGTTTATTCATTAGTGTATTATCACCCCCACCCCCCCCCCCCCACCCCCCGACTGACCCCCACCTGAACTGAACAGGCCGTAATTCTATAGGAAGGGTGAGTGGCACACCTAGATGTGTACTGGCCTATGGTAATACTGTCGCCTAGCATATGACATAAGGCCCACCCCCTCCCTCGACATCTGGTAGCTGACAATAGTCCGTAAAGAAAAAACTGACGACCAAAACAAGCCACCAAAACATATGTAGAGATAAGATGACCGTGTGTAAAAGTGCAAGAAAATAGTTGTTTATTCAAACATTTGACTTGGATCGCACGCTCTAATCAAACTAAACACACTTTATTTTTAACAATTTTTTCGATGTTATAATGTGTAAATTATTTAAAAGTAAAGTAACAATGTTTTCACAAACTTTATTGAGAGTGTTCTTATGTACCATGCATTAATCCAACAGGACCGGCTACGAGTCAACACCAACACTCACAACACACGCACCCACAACACCAGCACCCACAACCCCAGCACCCACAACACCAGCACCCACAACACTAGCACCCACAACACCAGCACCCACAACACTAGCACCCACAACACCAGCACCCACAACCCCAGCACCCACAACACCAGCACCCACAACCCCAGCACTCACAACACCAGCACCCACAACACCAGCACCCACAACACCAACACTCACAACACCAGCACCCACAACACCAGCACCCACAACACCAACACTCACAACACAGCACTCACAACACCAGCACCCACAACACCAGCACCCACAACCCCAGCACCCACAACACCAGCACCCACAACACCAACACTCACAACACAGCACTCACAACACCAGCACCCACAACACCAGCACCCACAACCCCAGCACCCACAACACCAACACCCACAACACCAGCACCCACAACACCAGCACTCACAACACCAGCACTCACAACACCAGCACCCACAACCCCAACACCCACAACCCCAACATCCACAACACCAGCACCCACAACCCCAACATCCACAACACCAGCACCCACAACACCAGCATCCACAACACCAGCACCCACAACACCAGCACCCACAACACCAGCACTCACAACACCAGCACCCACAACACCAGCACCCACAACACCAGCACTCACAACACCAGCACTCACAACACCAGCACCCACAACCCCAGCACCCACAACACCAGCACCCACAACACCAGCACTCACAACCCCAGCACCCACAACACCAGCACCCACAACACCAGCACTCACAACCCCAGCACCCACAACACCAGCACCCACAACACCAGCACCCACAACACCAGCACTCACAACACCAGCACCCACAACCCCAGCACCCACAACACCAACACCCACAACACCAGCATCCACAACACCAACACCCACAACACCAGCACCCACAACACCAGCATCCACAACACCAGCACAACACCAGCACCCACAACCCCAACACCCACAACCCCAACATCCACAACACCAGCACCCACAACCCCAGCACCCACAACACCAACACCCACAACCCCAACACCCACAACCCCAACATCCACAACACCAGCACCCACAACCCCAGCACCAACAACACCAGCACCCACAACACCAACACTCACAACACAGCACTCACAACATCAGCACAACATCAGCACCCACAACACCAGCACCCACAACACCAGCACCCACAACCCCAGCACCCACAACACCAACACCCACAACCCCAACACCCACAACCCCAACACCCACAACACCAGCATCCACAACACCAGCATCCACAACCCCAGCACCCACAACACCAGCACTCACAACACCAGCACTCACAACCTCAGCACCCACAACACCAGCACCCACAACACCAGCACCCACAACACCAGCACTCACAACACCCACAACACCAGCACCCACAACCCCAGCACCCACAACCCCAGCACAACACCAGCACCCACAACACCAGCACCCACAACCCCAGCACCCACAACCCCAGCACCCACAACCCCAGCACAACACCAGCACCCACAACACCAGCACCCACAACCCCAGCACCCACAACCCCAGCACAACACCAGCACCCACAACACCAGCACCCACAACCCCAGCACCCACAACCCCGGCACCAACAACACCCACAACCCCAGCACCCACAACACCAGCACCCACAACCCCAGCACCCACAACACCAGCACTCACAACACCAACACCCACAACCCCGGCACCAACAACACCCACAACCCCAGCACCCACAACACCAGCACCCACAACACCAGCACCCACAACCCCAGCACTCACAACACCAGCACCCACACCACAAGCACCCACAACACCCACAACACCAACATCTCATCTAGATCAATACCCACGGCCCGCGTGTTTTCTTCTCGTGCGACCCTGACATCTATCGTCTGATCATACCAAGATGGCGGAGTGCAGTTTTTTTCTATTGATTATCACACACGTTTGTCCTACCTTCACACCGTGCGAGGGTGGAGTCACGTGTTTTATCCAGGTGGGGCGTAAAGGGGGGGGGGTAAATCAAGCGTGGACAACCGTGCAAAGAACCGGTTATTTTCTAATACCATCCTCTCATATTGTTCATTAGCCGGCTTTTGTTTCTTCCTGACTTTTCTGACTTTAATTCGGTAGAAAAAGGTTGCCGGCTTGTATTTTTTTGATAGGCCTGCTCACATACCGGCTTTTATCTTGTGATAGGTATATACACAGGCTAATACACCGGCTTTAGTTTAATAGTTTAATCACATGGCTCTCATTCCGAGTTTAACATTACAGGTGGTCAGAGCTGATGTGCCTATTGTGTCGTGTCGGTCAGCTCATGCCCTACCAACTAAACGCAATGGTTTGCCAGTAGCATAGCGAGGGGGGGGGGGACGATAGATGTCCCCGGGGGGCGCCGACCTTTGGGGGCGCCAAAATGGGTTGGAAAAATAAATTGAAAGTTTGAGGGGGGGGGGTGAAAGTCGAAATCTTGAGGGGGGGGTGCAAATCGAAATCTTGAGGGGGGGGGGTGTGCAAATCGAAAGTTTGAGGGGGGGTGCAAATCGAAATCTTGAGGCGAGGGGGTGCAAATCGAAATCTTGAGGGGGGGGGTGCAAATTGAAAAGTTTGTCCCCGGGCGCCGGGAAGGGTCGCTACGCCTCTGTGGTTTGCTTAATTGATCAGCACAATATGACATACATGAGTAGTGTGAAGTTTTACAGAGATCAAAATTGTGTATGATGTTTGACATAGAAACATATGTAGTGTGATGTTTTATATTCAAAAATATGTAGCGTAATGTTTTATATAGAAACATATTTGGTGAGAAGTAATTTATACAAACATATCAGCAAAATGCGTAACGATATTTATGTACAAGTCTACACGTGCATATGCTAATGAGTTTACTATACATGAATGCGGTTCATGAGTTTTATGTGTGTTACGTGTGTAGGTGGCTTTGTTATTAAAGGTTGCGTGTGCATGTGTATCGTGTATATGTGAATTCATACACACACATACTTAGGCTGATTTTACGGTCAACGCTTATTCATAGACAACCACAACACAAGTTGTACACAGCATCACCATGTACATATCCCAACACATTACACATCACCGTGTACATATCCCAACACATTACACAACATCACCGTGTACACATCCCAACACATTACACAACATCACCGTGTACACATCCCAACACATTACACAACATCACCGTGTACATATCCCAACACATTACACAACATCACCGTGTACATATCCCAACACATTACACAACATCACCGTGTACATATCCCAACACATTACACAACATCACCGTGTACATATCCCAACACATTACACAACATCACCGTGTACATATCCCAACACATTACACAACATCACCGTGTACATATCCCAACACATTACACAACATCACCGTGTACATATCCCAACACATCACATATCACCATGTACATATCCCAACACATTACACAACATCTATGAACACATGTTTACATAACAAATAACACGCCTGTCCTACAGCCCTAAACATGAATCGATACATAATGTGTATCAGCATATTTTGCTCCAGTGGTAAGCTAAGTCTTGAATCCTAACATTCATTGAAGGGAAATTCTCTTATATAGGCAACTACCTACATGCACGCCCAGTTTTAGTCTCATCAGCTAATTTTCGATACCGGTTTACCAAGTTTTAATTGAGAAAAAAAGTCAACTCTAAGACAAATTATTTTAGAATTGACCACACGCCATCAATAGCCCACTGTGTCTGAGAAAGATTGAGAAACTACTGATAGAGCAATCAATAGATTCCCTTAGCAGTGCCGTGACGGCCGACACGATGGGTACAGCGGGGCACGGGAGGTGGAGAAAAGCTTTCACTCACGGTAGGGATCTTGTAATGACATCAGTAGGTTTGGTACCAAAATCTAGGGTCTTTGTTCGATAGTACACTACTTAAAATCTTTTTGTTCGATATTACACTACTTAAAATCTTTTTGTTCGATATTACACTACTTAAAATCTTTTTGTTCGATATTACACTACTTAAAATCTTTTTGTTCGATATTACACTACTTAAAATCTTTTTGTTCGATATTACACTACTTAAAATCTTTTTGTTCGATAGTACACTACTTTAAATGTTTTTGTTCGATATTACACTACTTTAAATGTTTTTGTTCGATATTACACTACTTTAAATGTTTTTGTTCGATATTACACTACTTAAAATCTTTTTGTTCGATATTACACTACTTAAAATCTTTTTGTTCGATATTACACTACTTAAAATCTTTTTGTTCGATAGTACACTACTTTAAATGTTTTTGTTCGATATTACACTACTTTAAATGTTTTTGTTCGATATTACACTACTTTAAATGTTTTTGTTCGATATTACACTACTTTAAATGTTTTTGTTCGATATTACACTACTTTAAATGTTTTTGTTCGATATTACACTACTTTAAATGTTTTTGTTCGATGTTACACTACTTTAAATGTTTAGTTCGATATTACACTACTTTAAAAGTTTTTGTTCGATATTACACTACTTTAAATGTTTTTGTTCGATATTACACTACTTTAAATGTTTTTGTTCGATATTACACTACTTTAAATGAGTAGGTTTGGTACCAAACTCTAAGGCCCTTGTTCAATATTACACTACTTTGAATGCATACGTTTTGGTGGTCCTAGTTGCTTTGACCACAGGTGGTTTGACCATAGGGGGTTTGACCACAGGTGCTTTGACCATAGGGGGTTTGACCACAGCAGAGCTTTGACCATAGGTGGTTTGACCATAGGGGGTTTGACCACAGGTGCTTTGACCATAGGGGGTTTGACTACAGCGGGGCTTTGACCACATGGGGGGGGGGGCACAATACATAGAATTTAAAATAGAAATTATAAAATGCAATTTTAATTTTTTAATTTTAATTTCTGATACAATTGATACCATTTAATTTTATACTTGTTTTCTGAAAGTCCATTTACTAAAATAGTCAAGAACGATATTTTAGTCTCCACATACAGGCTGGTGCTAGACCTCATAGATTTATTTTAAATATAAATGGAACACAAATAATGCGACATATAACAAGTTTCACAAATAAATAATGTAGATGTACTAGAAAATACATAGCATATATAAAGGATAAAAAGGATAAAAAACATGCCAACAGTATAATCAAAGAGGTAATACTTGTATGGTTAACTAAATGGCAGAAGAATTAACATACTATTACATCCTGCCGCAATTTAAAACATAATTACATAACTTTTAAAATTAATCCTTACCATATGTGGACAAGGCGCTTTTTATCAAACGCCAGCATTGGACAAACCATCTGTGATCAAAGACCCTATATGGATAAAACACATGTGATCAAAGCCGCACTCAGCGCTTGTGATAAAACACCCGTTTACAAACCGCCTGTGATCAAAGACCCTCTGCTAAGAAAACACCTGTCGTCAAACCCCCTATCGTCAAACGCCCATGGTCAAAACCCCGTTATGGTCAAAGCCCCACTGTGGTCAAACCACCTATGGTCAAACCCCCTATGGTCAAAGCACCTGTGGTCAAAGGTCCGCGCACCCGTTTTGGTAACAAAATATATGATGAATTTTGTTAGCTACATGTATGGCCCATATCCTCTTTTATCCTGAATACACAGAAGACAACAGAAGAATTAATTAGAAATATTTAAGTAAATGACTACAATTTGCCTAACAAATGAGCAGTTGTCAGATCTCTCTTCGACTACAAAGACGAACTAATGAGCAGATAAAATGAGGAGATAACCATGCCTTCATGAGCATACACACTCAGATCTCGCAGTTTTTAAGAAAAAAAATTCAGTTCTATCATGTCATATGTATGGCAGCTGTTGATTACGCAATGCCTGTAATAGAAGTTCAGTAAAACAGGTTAACTCTACTTAAACTGTACAGAACATAGCTTTTTTACCTTCCGAAATGTAAATAATAATATCTTATGGCAATCAAATACGATAAACTTTTAAAAAATACGATAACAGATAGGAGGATATTTCTGTACTAAACCTGTCTTCTTTAGGCAGGAAACTATTTTACATTGCCTACAACAAGCGTAACACAAAAACAACTTCCTGACATGTGGGACGTAAATTTAACTGAACATGTCTTTTCACATTGTGCTCACCTTTCGTGTTTTTTTTTAATTTATCCCCCCCCCCTACCCTCCTCTCCCGTCTCACTGGCAAAGTTTGGCGTGAGTGTGCCTCCCTGTACCACGTGATACGTCTGTTATCTCCACAGATACCCACGTCAACCAGATAGATCTCACAAAGCGGGAATTCCCACAACAAGCCGTTATTCGCCTGTCCATATATATAGGTGGAATCGGCTGGATAAGGGGATAAGACTACAAGAATGCCAGAAATCTGCCTACAGTAACTGGCAACAGTCCTCTGCTAGTGGCTCACAGACAAGTGGATACATGGATCTCACGATTCTACCCACTCTAGCTCTCTGGGGAGTCGTGGGTTATAAAGGGGAGTATATGGCTGCATACCAAGCTTCTAGATGAGGGCAAGAGGGTGGGGGGGGGGGGGGGAGCTGAGGAGTCATGGGTATAAATTGGATTATATGGGAGTATATGGCTGCATACCAGGGTCAATGGGAGGGAACATCATTGTACTGGTAGGTGAGGAGCGATGAATATGATAGTGGATGTAAGACAGTGTGTGTAAGTGTGTGTAAGACAGGAGATATGAGAAAGTTGTGTGTATACGGCAATAGGTGTAAGAAAGTTGTGTGAATAGGCGAGATGGTGTACGAAAGTTGCTTGAGCAGGGTATTGTGTGTAAGAAAATGTGTGAACAGGATAGTTGGTTTAAGAAAGTTGTGTGAATAGGAACAACGGATAAAATAATAAATAGTATATATATATATATATATATATATATATATATATATATATATATATATATATATATATATATATATATATATATATATATATATATATATATATATATATATATCAAGGGTGGGTCCTACTGTAATTAAACGTTCCAACGACACATGCCACAACCAGTAGAATGTACCGTCTAGAATGAAGAGAAAACTGACACCATTCACTGTCTAAGTAGAGATGTTACGACACACAAGACAAGGCAAGAGAGGGAGAAAGAAAAAGAAATATGAATATTCAATGTATTAAGCTTACAGCCTCGATAGTCGGCACGAAATGGGAAATAACTCGAGCTGTCCCCCTTGATGGGATCAATACAGTCTAGCTGCGTCTATGGTAGAAACATGTCCGGGCTAGGTCGCCTATGCTGTAATCTGTTTGATTTCTTCAAGTCGATTCGGTTTTATTCCGGTGCTGCGGTCTACAACGAAAATAATTGACACAGCCCAGCGAAGCTTGTATAGGTTTAACAAAGCTGCAAGAATCAATGCTGCTTGGTATAATTTGTTGCTTGCATTAGTTACAGCATTCTCGTTTACTCCCAGTCTATGTGAGGTGGTCAAACTTTACACAGGCATGTGTACGTATGTCAATAAACTGTATACAGAACAATCTTATGTACACACATCAATAGCCTGTACACAACGCAATCGTATGTACATACATCAATAACTTGTACAATATTCAGTCTGTGTATCAGTTACCAGTATAGGGATTGTGTATTATTAATATTAGTGAACACATAAAGTGACGTATTTACATTTCCCAATCGCCATATATCGGTATACAGCATATCCATAAGTTACTCCCTCATATCACAGAACATTTTAGGATAGCCCCCCCCCCCCCTCCAACACACACACACACACACGCACACACATACACAAACCACATCAACATTTTTACCACAAAGCAGATTTTGCATTATTAAGCTTTTCTAAACAGCAAAATATTGCAAAAACATCAGAACATAAATCAGTGTTGAAAACAATTATTAACTCAAATATTACAATACTACGCCAATCTTTTACGTTATGTGTTGTGTGCGGTCTAAATTTAGATTATTTTGTATTCACTGCCTACATTTTATATTATGTTAAACCGAGAATTCTTTTGATTGTAAAAATAACAGCTGACTGAGTGCATGTGTGTGCCTCTGCTTTGTTGTTGTTGTAAATATCAATAACTGTCGTCATATGTAAATCTATAATGAGCACCTAGTGTTTATAAGTTTAAGAGTCTTAGCTTTTCTTCTTATTTAATATAATGAGGATTCAAATTTTGTATACCAAGTTATTATAGTTTAAATCCATCGCCTATGCCTTCATTGCCCCCTCTCATCCACCCCCATCGCCCACCCATCTGATTACAAATTGTTATTAGTAGTCTATAAATCCATATCAAAATATAAAACCATGTTTACTTACTAGATTTTCTTACCTTGGTTTTACCACCAGAACACTCAAGTTAAATTTCCTGTCGTGTCAGTTTCTCAGCTATAGTCCATTAAAATACAACTGTGACAGCAATAGTCCATTCAAATACAACTGTGCAGCAATAGTCCATTCAAACAAAACTGTAACCACGCTTCAGTCTCTTGTCCATTTAATTAAGACACACCAAGTCCTTCAGCTAAAACTGAGATCCCACGTTTTCTTGTCCATTATTCCTTAACTAAAACGACACAAAGGCACATGTTCATTTACCTAAGAATATGTAGTTTCCAAGTACACAAACAGCAAAATAACACTAGACGAATGTGCTTTATTCGTACAGACTAGACTGCTCACAACTAGTCTACTCACAACTAGTCTACTTACTACTAGTCACAACTAGTCTACTCACAACTAGTCTACTCACAACTAGTCTACTCACAACTAGTCTACTCACAACTAGTCTACTCACAACTAGTCTACTCACAACTAGTCTACTCACAACTAGTCTACTCACAACTAGTCTACTCACAACTAGTCTACTCACAACTAGTCTATTCACAACTAGTCTACTCATAACTAGTCACAACTAGTCTACTCACAACTAGTCTACTCACAACTAGTCTACTTACTACTAGTCACAACTAGTCTACTCACAACTAGTCTACTCACAACTAGTCTACTTACTACTAGTCACAACTAGTCTACTCACAACTAGTCTACTCACAACTAGTCTACTCACAACTAGTCTACTCACAACTAGTCTACTCACAACTAGTCTACTCACAACTAGTCTATTCACAACTAGTCTACTCATAACTAGTCACAACTAGTCTACTTACAACTAGTCTACTCACAACTAGTCTACCCACAACTACTCACAACTAATCTACTCACAACTAATCTACTCACAACTAATCTACTCACAACTAATCTACTCACAACTAGTCTACTCACACAACTATACAACTCACATAGGCTAAAAACACTACTGACTCTACTAGATGAAAGTGCCTTACTTACACAATTAGTCTACTCACACTACAAGTCTACCGGCATAGCTATAGTACTCACACAGGCCAACCCCACTACTCCTGCTGCTGGGGCGGGGATAGCGAGGCTAGCACGCATGTCCCACCCGCTGACAATTCGCACGTGCGATCCTAGGACGGTCTGCTCACGCTTGCCTCAAGACGCCGGTCGTGTTGTTTACACGGGCGGTTTATCTAAGAAAAACTGCTTAACTTTAACAGTACATAGCCGGCTAATTTTCATAACCGGTTACGTTTAATGTATATACCCGATTTAAGTTACTGTCGTAGGCGGCTATATAAAATGTCCATTTATGACTAAATTAACAGTGCATTGTCTGTTGTAAGTATTTCACTTCTTCCCAAATTCCGTTGCTGTAATGTCATGTTTTTCACTTTAGCCCTGAATTTAACACATCCAAAATGCATTTGTATGTTACATAAATTTGAACTCTCCCAGGTTTTATCAACCTTGAGATATCTGGTTAAACATGTTTACATTTTAGCGGGTATTAGCCACGCCCTGTCTGAGAACATCCGATTGTAGCGGGCTAACGGTAAGATGCGGCAATAGCCAATGGCCGTGACGATATGGGCACGTGACCTGTGTTGTACTATATACTAGTGGACCAGCTGTGCCGTCCAATACAAGCCGTGTACAGTTCGAGACATCTGTGTCCAACTTTGTCAAACCCTGTCATCTTCTGTACAATCAATGAGTCAGTAGCTCATATTTTGTTAAGTATGTTCTTCATAACTTTACAATCCTGGTAGGGGGGGGGGGGGGGTGATGCCGAACAGTTAACTAGTTACAAATGCTATGGGGGTTTTGTTTACATATCACATTGGTAGAATGTGTCAGTTTTATTTCTGTCAGTTGTAAAAGTAGATTTGGCGATTTGATCTTTTTGTGTTAGATAACATGGTTTATGTGTGTGGGTTGGGCCCTGTAGTTGTAGGGTGTCTGTAGGTTAGGTCCTCCGGTTGTGGTGTGTATGAATGTTAGGTCCTCTGGATGTGGGGTGCCTGTAAGTTAGGTCTAATGGGGTGTCTGTAGGTTAGGTCATCTGGTTGTGGGGTGTCTGTAGGTTAGGTCATCTGGCTTGAGGGGTGTCCATAGATTAGGTCATTTGGTTTGTGGTGTGTATGAATGATATGATATGCACTTTGTGGAGGGTCAGTAGTTTAAGTTATAAGGCTTACTGGCCTTTCCTTAATTTTAAAAAAAACTTCCCCCTTATTTAAAATGAAATAAAACTAAGCTTACATGTGTCATCTTAAGATACACAACAATCTTCCCTAACACATCTGCACAATTTTACACATTTTAAAAAGCCATCTCTCTGTTAGCAGATGGCGTGCTTGTTGTTTCTTTAAGTCGAGAAAACAAATTCCCCAGCGTCGTATGACCCAGTTAACTCCCACCGGTGTAGCAGGGATCAATACAATTTACAGATCCCCACTCTTCAGTCTATCTTGCGGGCATCTGTGATCTGGCATCTCATTAGCTCCTGACTTCCACGACCCTGTATAGAAAGTAACACGTCAACGCTTGTTTCTTAAGACAAAAAAAGAACACGTAGTTTGCGTGGACTTTATTTTACTCGAGTGGTAAACTAACTCGTTACCTGACATGTAGAGTGGTGTTCTACCTTGTGTAATGGTGTTTACTAGACATCGTGATGGTAGTTTGCTTGGCACATACATGATTATTTATTTGGCAACTGTGTTTAGACCTGCCACTTCGTTGTTTAACCAGGAACATTGATGTTATTTTACTTGGCACGGTGATGTTTTACCTGGCATACTGAAGTCATTTCACCTGGCACGGTGATGTTTTACCTGGCATACTGAAGTCATTTCACCTGGCACGGTGATGTTTTACCTGGCATACTGAAGTCATTTCACCTGGCACGGTGATGTTTTACCTGGCATACTGAAGTCATTTCACCTGGCACGGTGCTGTTTTAACTGGCATATTGAAGTTGTTTTACCTAGTACGGTGATTTTTTTTACCAGGCGCATTGATGTTGTCACACATGGCACGGTGATGTTTTGCCTGACATAATGATGATGTCACACCACTGAAAAATTGATGCTTTTTGACCTAGTATATTGAATGTTGAATCTATTTTACATGGCATGGTGATGTAACGGTACTCAAGTTATCGTGTTCACAGACACACATATAACACACACACATAGACATACGGAAAAAAATTGCAAAATAATTGTTTTTCCGACTCTGGGAGGTAAACGTCGAGATTTGTGAAAAAACTCGATTTAAAAAAAAAATGTTGCACGATTACAATAATTCCTCTATAGTACTCTATACTATTACTACGTATACGAGAAAATAAAAAGACTGAACCAATACTAATAACGATAACTTTATATTAACTTTAATCACAAATTGAATTACTTCCCCTCTTTTAGTTGCATTTAGTTAGATGCGAAACTTGAAGAAAAATATAGCAAATATATTATATCCTTTAACTTTAAGCAGTGTCTGTCACTTCCCGCCTAATTTTTTTAAAATGCCCCTTCCCTCCCCCCGCCCAATAGAAAAATGAATGAAAGAAAAACTGCCTGTTGCAATTAAAATTACGCTAAAATTGGTGATCATTTAACTATTAAATTATTTTTTTATTTAACAGCACATTTTTGTCATTCATTGATTTACAAAAATGATTTAATTACTGTACTTGGCCGTTTAAAATAAGATCTAGTCTACTTCGTTTTATTATGTTTGATGATTAAAGTTTATAAATTATAATAAACCCTTTAATAATTTAGATTTAAATTATTTATCTTGATTGACTTGACTTCCGGTTTGAGATACTTAATAAAAAGAAAAAGTTTACTAAAGGTGTTTTGTTTAAAGTTTAAAAACGCATGCAGTTGTTTCTTTAGTTTGAGCATTGTCTTTCAAATACTCTAAATAGTCTAGCTAGAATATGTGACGGTGATACTAAATATTTAATTTATATCTAGATTCTAGAACTAAATCTAGATCTAGATCTAGTAGCCTACTAATTTACTAAATTTAAATGAATTTATTTATTTACTATTTAGGTCTTTCTTTAGTGAACTTTAGTCACTTTTCATTAGACTTTAGTACTCTTTTAAAACTCTTTTTAGATCTAGATCTAGAGATTAGGTCCTAGGCCTAGGATATTTATAATATTTAATAAATATTTATTAATTTAATTTAATATTATTTCCTTGCCTTATTTTAAATTTTTTAAAATTAGATTATAGGCCCTATCTCATTTCTATTTTCTAAGTGTAGTGAGTAGTGTACAGTGTTTCTTCCAGACTTTCTTGGGGGGGGGGGGGGGGCGGACACTGTTAAACACTTAAAAGTATATATTTTCTATATAAATTTCATTTTGTTCAGAGGGGTGGTAGAAGAGATGCCTGGAAGGAACTCTGGTAGTGTAGTTTAGTGCTTACTTACTTTCACTTATAATTTACTCAATACTAGATCTAGGTTAGTAACTTAGTAGATCTTACTCTTTACTCTTCAAGCTCTTAGTCTAGCCTTAGAGACTAGAGAGTCTAGGTCTAGATTCTAGATCTACTTACTACTAGTAGTAGTACTGTAGTAGATCTAGCTTACAAGCTAGATATCTAGATCTAGACCTTAACAGCTAGATCAGTTTAGTAGTTTTTAGTTAGATCTTGATCTAGTTCTAAATTTAAGAGTGTGAGTATCTAGACAATCTAGTATTCTAGTGTATTTAGAAGGAAAAAAGGCTGTACTGTACAGCACTGAGTACTAACTTAACTAGTGTTACCTGTAGGTAGACTAGTGTAAACTAAGACTGCACACATACATAGTACATAGCTATAAGATTAGATTAGTATCATTAGTTAGTAGATCTAGAGTCTAGCTAGACTAGATCAAGTATTCATAACTTAACATGTTAACCTAGTTCTAGAACTCTAGACTAGAATCTAGATTAAATATTCTATTGCTATGATAATATTAAGTAGAAGCTACTAGAGATTTCATAAATAATCTAGAGTAATCTATAGCCCATTCTAGTTTAGAAAAGTCATGACCGCTAATCTAGGTGCTAGAGCTTAGTAGATCTAGAATCTAGTATTAGATATTAAGTTACACTATTCACTTTTTTAAAAAAAAATAATTGTTTAACTTTTACAGGAATCATCTTAATTAATAAACACATCCTCACAAATGGCTTTACCTCCCAACTTTTTTAACTTGTATCAAGACCAGCTCTTGGACCAAAGAAAAAGAATGGAAATGTATGAGACATATAGGTATTATAGTTTATTATTATCTTTAACTACATTGAGGAATACATAACTTCTTAATTTCTTCTTAAAGGTATTGCTGCATAAAATGTTAACACACATTTAAACCAGCCTTCATTTACTATTTAACAGGGCTCAACAACTGCGCAATGGAAATATTCTACCACCTTACCAGCTCATACAAAATGGACCATCAAATTGTCAAGCTCCTTTTGGAAATGGATCAATGATGGATATGTCAACTAACAGGTTTGACCCATCATCTGGCAATATGTGGCGAGTTTATGACAGATCCTCACAAAGTTTTGAAAGGTTTCCAACTCAAGGCATTACAACAGACAGGCAGTTTTCTGGATTACCAATGAACTGTGGTCCATACCACCCTAACAATTATATGACCATGTCTAGAAATCAACAACCTGGTTTTCCTCTAATACCTCAGCAGCCACCTGTAGTAACACCAGGCAGATATGTAAATACACCTGGTATAAGCAGTGTGACATCACCAAACAGAATGTTCTCTCCACAGACAACCCCAAGGTTGTACAACACCACAGTGCCTCAGCCAGGATTAGACCCAAACAAATCTCCTCTATATCATACTAATCAGAATGTTACCAGTCTTTCACCTAAAGATTTGCAAAATAAGACCCTAGAAAAAACACAAAAGCCAAATGTGGCTTCATATAGTTATACTGACCATTGGACTGTCCAGAAAAGCAATGAAATCCTTAATAAATCTGCAAGCGGGAAAGATTTCCAGAAAGTGGCACTAAAAAACACTAACAGTCTAGTAGTAAATCCAGGTAGAATAAATGATAAATTTACAGAGGAATCTAATTACCCTTTAATATCAGACTGTGATTGCAACTCTAAAGATGGATGTAAAAAGTGCACTGCTAGAGCTCATATTGCAAAACATAATAAATTAGAACATGATAAAATGGTAGCTGTGGAACTGAAGGTCTATAACAAAGTTGAAACTTCAGAGAAGAAGTCATTGTGTTGTGATCCAAAACCCAAAGCTAAACTTCAGTCAGTATGGGATGTTGAAGATGAGAATGAAACATTGACCAGTACAAAACTACCAGATAAAAGAAATGATTCCGTAAATACAAAAGGCAACTTGATGGGAAAGGATAGTGCTGAAGCTGGCAGCGGGAGAGTGGATATGTCAGCAGAGGCCAGTGATGTAGCTGATGTTGCAGCTCTCATGCAGAAGATGGGTCTTGGACCTCCATACCAGCTACCCATTGGTCTAGCTCCACGCCATGTATTGCCTTATCTAACTTGGATGAAACAGAGAGAAATGATTGATAAAAGTGCTGAGAAGAATGAAGTTAATCAATTGATAAATACACAGCCCATGTGTGAAAGTAATTTAAACTTAGCATCAGATGCAAATAAAAATCCAAAAGGGCCAGAAGTAGTTCAGACATCTGGAAATCCTGTGTTGAGTAACAATCTCAATGCTATTCCAGTGATGGCCCCATCTACTCCCTCACCTTACTCGAGTGTCCAAATGTTTAATCCAACACCATCCTACATGTTACCCTATAATCCTGAGGCCACAAAGTTGGCTTTACACCTCCTTCAACAAGAGCAGCTCCTATTGCAAGCTTACAGCCTGCAAGCTTGTATGATGAATCAAGCAACCTTAGCACAAGCAATAGCCCAAGGAGGCAGCAGAAGCAGCACTGCCACTGCTATGAACCAAAGCAACCCCATCAGTGAAAGTGACAACAGCCAAGTTGAAACCATGCTGAAGAATCTCTATTCCAATGATTTTGACACTGAACAAGCCAACCCCCACACAATGCTAGATGCTGTTAACAGAAGTGTTGGAAACTTTGGTTTACAGTCAGTTCCTGAAAAAAGAAAAGGTTTACAGTATTTGTCTACAAGTGATTCCAGCTCCAATAGTAGGAGTGATGAGATCCATGTTGAACCAAATTATAAGTGTGAGCTATACTCAGAAGTTGATGTACTTGATGATGATCAGATTGAATCCATTTTGAAAAAACTTCATTTTGTGCCAGAAGAAGAAAAGTGGGATGAAGGTGTGGGTACTTGTTGTGATTTAAATATTCCTTGTTCACTACAAAACAACAGTAAAAGCGCTGACATAACTGAGCAACATAAAAGCCATGTGCTGCCAATAGTTTCAGAGAAGCCTCAAGTTTCTCATATTTTTGAAGACGAATCAGAGTGCATTGCTGTTGATGGGAAAGTCAAGCTATTCTCACCACTGCGAAAGCCTAAAACTTTGATAAAATGTTTGCAACCTATAAAAAAACCTCACTAAGATGTAGTTCATTTGAAATCATACAGCTGCTATTAACAAATACCAAAACCCCTTAGTAAGGCCCCTCCAGTAAAAGCTGAAAAGTGTTGTATCCTTCTTTTGTAAGGGAGATAAAATCTCTTTGTTGAAGTCACCAGTAGAGAATGTTGTGATATCCAAATAAAGTATTATGAAAGAAAAATAAAATGAGTAAAATAGCTTGAGGAAAAAACTGTCAGTTATAAAATTATTCATAACTTTTTATTTAAATTTTCAGGTAAATTTCAAAAAATGATATATTTAAACCTCCTTTCTATACAGTGTTATAATAATTTTTGTTCTACATGACATGTAAATGTTTCACACTTTACTGTTATTTTATGAAAACTGGATGTGTTTTCTAGACTTGTGACTTGTATATTCATTCCATTTTGAGTTTTACTTTTATCAAGTGTTTTGCCTGACAAATTTTTCATGCTATCTTTTATTTTGTAACAAAAAAAATGAGCTCAAATTGCTTCTATTAAAAAGTTTTTTTTTTTATTGTGATAAACTATTTCAGTACAATGTATAAATAATTCCTCTTAATTTATTTATTAAACTTTTCTTATTGCTTTAGTATCTAGTATCTACAAATATTGGACCTATTTTTTTGGTACTAAAAAAGTATCTACATTTTAGTTTATTTTAAATGTTCATTGTTCGGTTGCTACATAGATTGACACATTTTTTTGTAGTTGATTTCAGAAAATTTTTCATTCATAAGAAATACTTTACGAATGTAAAATTAAAAAAATGAAAAAATATCTTTAGATATTATTTCCATAATCATGTTTGACCTGTTTTGTGTTATTTTGTTTTGGTAAATTCCAATGAACTTAGTGCAAATGCAAATTTCTGATTAGTTAAAAAATCAGACAACATCACTTTTAGTTCTTATATTTATTTCTGTTGTACAAAGTACCCTGATATATAGGTTCAATTAAGCTGTCCTTTACTCCATAAATATATGTAAACATGATGGTTATTTTACTATTTAGTGTAGGGTAAATATGTTTTTTTAAATTAGGTATTTCTATTCTTTTTTTAAATTTGAAGGTTTATATTTATTTACATTGTATAATGGTTTTATGATAGACCTGAAATAACCTATTTTAAAAAATGCCTAGCTTTATCAACTTTATTAATGAAATAATAAGTAACATGTAACACAACTAGAACTAATATTGTCTTGGAAATACTATAACTTTGTATTAAGTTGTTAAAAGACAATTCTATGTAATCATCATATTGATACAAAAAAAAAATCAAGACATTTCTTGTTTTTAAATTTTTACTTTCGAAATTCTCTTAAACATAAAAAAAATATTGTAATAACGTAAAATTTAAACAAACACTGTTTTTAATATTTATTTTTTTGATTAATATTGTACCTGCAGTAAAAAAACATTGTTATAGCTATTTAATTTATATCAAAACTAGACTGTAAAATAAAACTGAATCGTTTTATAAATTTTATGTTCATGATAAAACAGTGATTATTAAATAATGAAAAAAATTTGCTATGACATATTTTAAGCATATTGCACAATTAATACATCATTTACAAAAGCAAAACTATAAGTTATAAAAATAAATAAATATCCATCAAGTAAACTTGAAAAAAAAATTTTCATCTTTAAAATTTAAAGGACATAAAGGGCCATGGTCATCACTTTCCTATTTGGCAAGAATTCTGTGGGATGAACAGCTTTTAAGTTAACAGCTTTATAAGAATCAAGAGAGTGCCCAAAAAGGACTAAAGCAAATTAACTATATACAGATATTTTAAAAGTTTGGTATCTTAGATAATGCACAGCACTCTGGCTTGTAATCAATGGCACTTGAGTTCGTAGTAGATTTAAACTTCTTCAAAATAAAAAAATAAAAATTTCACATTTTGAAAAAATAATTTACTGGCTAAACAATTACCAAAAAAAGATAAATGTTCTACTAAAATTCCATATTTATTTTATAATAATATCTTATAATATAAGATCTCAAGTTTCATCTTTAAAAATTAATATTCATGAACATAAAGTATCCTTAAGAGAAACAAGTCTATCCCAACAAATAAATAATGGAAGGGCTTTGGTTGATCTTTTTCTTGAAAAACTTCAGTGTGAATAATATAGAAATAAATATTTAAAAGCACAAATATAGAAATAGTGTGAAAAGTAAACTATACAAGAAACTATCACTTCATAAAATACTACAGAACTTAAGTTGTAATTTAAATTAACATAAAACAATGCTCAGTAGTTTGAAAATTAAAGTATATCTAACATGTGTACTATGCACATAATTTTTACAGCCATTGTCAAAATGACAGCTACGCACGAAATAGCAATTAATTTTTTGAAATGCAGACAAAGAATTATAGCATTCACAGAATCACATAATAAATAGGATAAGACACCAAGCACTGGCAACAAAAACCAAGTAATAGCCATCTTGATTCAAAACTTCAAAATAACATATCTTGTTACAGCTGTATATGGGCTGGTGCAATGGCAATACATTGTGGCTATAGAAAATTATGTCACCGTCACAGGAAAAGTCAACAATTGTTAAAAATTTAGTCTTAAAGTATAACTGAACTAGGGTGTCTCTTTTATTTAGATGCCAAGTCTCACTTATATTCCTAAGTAATTTTTTTTAAATATTCAAGGATATTAAATACATTATTCAAAAGTATCATAGTATCATACTGCTACTATAACTACTAAATAAATAGTTAAAATAAGATGAGAATTTTTCCTTCACAGGAGAATGCATTTTGTCCTGCATTTAATTGTATTGCTAGTACAAAGAAAACCAATAAATGAATGTTATTTCAAGTAATAAGCCTATATTTTAAATTTTCTAATTAAAGTCAAAGATTAATTTGCTTCAAACACCTTAGATTGAGTTAAAAGTTTTTCCAGAACACTGAGCACAAGGTTGGCATCTTCTTGGCAATGTGATCTCACTTCAAGTAGCTCCCACACTCTCCCATCTAAGGAAGCTAGAAGGTTCTCTGGTAAATCAGGGGATGATTCTGAAAATAGGTGTTAAAATAGTTATTAATGGGGGCCAAGCTAAAGACTTTTGTTAGCAGATGTATGCTCTACCCTTTCAATACCTTATGAGTATTACTAGTATTAGTGGAGTGAAGAGAAAATTTGTCTTGATGCATTATGGTGATACATAAAATTTAAAAACAGCCAAAACTTGGATCTAACATTGACTTTAGGAATCACCAATTTTTAGATCGGTTTAATAACGTGTATATTTTTATATTTATTAAAAATGAACTATGGCTTGCATACACCACCTTGAGCATCTTTGTCTCTCCTTATTACAAAAAGAACAGGGATATTCTCCAGATCTCTTTCATGTATAATCTGCATAATCATTTCTTGTTCTCCACTTAGAAGAAAGTCATCTCCTGACACACCCAGCATGTAAATGACTCCTGAAATCACGTCAGTTTGAATTCATCACACACATGTAGACTCTGGTCTAATAACAAAATTGAATAAGGAAGCAGAAAATACAATCTGACAGTAGTTTTAACCTCAAAACATTTCAAAAATTATTTTTTTTTACTTGTGTCTAACCTATTAAGTTAAAACTTCCAAATATTTGACAAACATATTTATGTTTAACATTGTACCTGGATAATATTAAAATGTTTCTTACCATTTGTTCCACCCAAAAAAGGTCTAATTCTGTATCCTATGTTCCCAGCAAGGTCATACATGAGGAATTTTTTACCACTCTGGGAAGTTATTGTGTCCACATTAAAATGACTAGTTGGCTCAATTGATAAAATATAGTCAATGCCATATTTCCATGAGTACAGCATAAACGTCTTTCCTGGATGATGAAAACAATGATATGTAAACGTCTAAGTGGTATATCACTATTATCACATTTCATCCTTTTTATACATTCAGTCAAATGAAATTATATCTTGCATTATATTAAAACCATAGAACTATATAGTTTAAAAAAAGTAAAAAAAAAAATCTTGGTGCTTAAAAGTTAATCAAATCTAAAATACTGATCATCATGTCTAAAACTTAGTAAAACAGGTATTACAATTACATGTGAATTTAAGTATATGTAAAGCAACCAATGATTAATATAAAAAATAAACCTCGGCTAAGGATAAGGAAACAGTTATGGTTTGAAAGTAAGAGCTGGAATTATTTATGGCTGACAAGATTTTGAAAGAAAAAAGAAAATCTCACCATACATAAATATATATATGACATTCAAAATGTTTTGAAATCAAAAGTGACATTCAACATTCCCCTGCCACTGGAGCAATAGATACAACCTCCTAATATAAGCCTACAGCATTAAAGAATTACAAAACTTTATATTAATAATGATATTACAATAGTATGATGAGTAATCAGATATTCAATTATTCACCTGAGTTCTGTTTTCCAAGAATAAGGATTTTTACTGGAGCCAACACAGAGCGAGAAGTGAAAGCAGAGATTCCTGATGTGCATGCTGCTCCCATTTTCTACCAGTTTACAATTTATATAAATTAATAATGATAAAATAGTTAATATATTAACATTCACTTTAAAACTGCTGAAACCTAAGTTTGTAACTAAAGAGAACCGATTGGTAGAGAGAGAGAGATGGTGATGGTATTGAAAATTATTCTCTCTAATCCTTTGCATTCCCTTTGGAACAGTAAGGGTTTAAAGACCTGAGCAAACTAATTACTTCCACTAATACAACATTAATATTAAACTAAAAATAAAACTTAGCATTTCAATACATTTATTACTTATTACGACAATAGAATAGATTACAGTGTTACAATAATCAGAACGAATAACAATATCATCACTCTACATACTTCCAGTACCGGTACTCACAAACTACTCAGCCATACATACAGCGACATAACAGGGACGGTCAACAATACAGCTTCTCTATGACAGCCTCGGGTTGACATCTCGATGACAGGTACAGCAACAGCATCTCATAGGACAGCACAGGTCGACATTACAACGACAGGTACAACAACAGCATCTAGCCGCAGGTACAATGACAGTGGCTCACAGGACAGGACAGGTCGACACCACGATGACAGGTACAGTGACAGCATCTAGCCGACAGGTACAGTGACAGCAGCTCACAGGACAGGTCGACATCACGACAGGTACAGCGACAGCAGCTCACAGGACAGGTCGACATCATGACAGGTACAGTGACAGCATCTAGCCGACAAGTGCAGCGACAGCTTCTGCACCATCTAAACAGCAATGGTACAGCATCTTACACGACAGCAACGGCCCACCATCAAGACCAGCCTTAGCCCACACATACACATCTACTCCATCCAAAGTATAGCTCTCCACTGATCTTGCGACAACCTAACCTCCGTCCCGTCCCAGGTATGTGACCTAGGGTCAACGAGGAAACAGGGGGGGGGGGGGAGAAAACAATGGTTTCTTGCCAGGTCGTATCTGAATTGTTAAATAGGCCACGCTGGAGGAAAAAAAAGGGGGGGGGGGGGTTTGAAGGGGGTACCAGCAAACATATATATATATATATAGAGAGAGAGAGAGAGAGATCAATATTGATAGCGATTTCATTAAATTTTGTACACATATTAAGAATATTTGTGTTAGTTACATATCTCACTCTACTAAGTAAGTTATTAAGTCTAAGGCAGTTTAAATAGTACTTATTAAGTGAAAGATAGCTGTAGTAGTAGGAGTAGCAGTGGCGTAGCGAGGGGGGGGGGGGCGAGGGTGCGGACGACACCGGGTGACACCATTTAGGGGGGTGACACCAAGGCAAAAAATAGCAAAATACATAGAGAAAAATGATAATTCCACTTAATTTAGTGATTAATTCGAGTGTTAAATAGTCTTTTAAGAGGTGCAAATTGAAAGTTTGAGGGGGGGGGGAGCAAATCAAAAAATAAAAGTTTGTCCCCGGGAAGGGTCGCTATGCTATGCCTGTGGGGGGTGACACCATTAAGTTCTGCACCAGGTGACACCCGACCTCGCTACGCCACTGAGGAGTAGTATTAAGTCACAAGGGTAGTAGGCCCCACTAGACTAGTGCCACTACTCATCAAGTCTACTAGTCTAGACACACACTAACTAGATTCTAGTATAACTGCTATCTAGTAGTAGTAGTCTGAAGTAGTAGCATTTTAGCAGCTTAACCCTTGAGTCTAACTTTAGCTTAGTAGAAAGTTACTAAGTCAGAGAGTTATCTGTCCTCAATGACACTTTAGCGCATTTTATTCGCCACTTCAACTTCATGCTCACCTACGGACACTACGGTGGGTTGAGATGTCAGATGTAGAATTCGAAATTGAATTCGATTCTTAAAATATTTGCCTACTTATTATTTAAAATATTCCATGGCTAATAAGAATTTCTATAGTCAATAAATATTTTCAAATAAAATAGATCTAATTGATTACAATTTAGAAAAAAAAATGCAATTATAGGTCTATTAAAGTATTAAATGTTAGTGTTGGTTACTTTTTACAGATTCACAATCCACCATCTTAGTTTACATTAGGAACGTACCGGAAGCTTGGATTAATTTATTACAATAATTTTTATGTTTACAATTAAATCTAAAAATGATATCATAATTTATTTGGAGCCTAACTGCATGATTACACATCAGCATATTTAATATGAACTTTAAAAAAAATTATTCTAAGATATATACCTAAATCTACTTAGACTTTAGTTCAATTTCTATTCCATGTTTATTTATATATGTGACACTTTTAAACAAAATGGCAGCGCCCTATGTTGACAAATGTTTTATTGAGGAACCTCCGTACTGTCGATTTAAAACATTAAAACGAGAAATTCAAGGTAAACTACATTTAAAAACGCATGATTATTCGAGAGTATTGGTAATATCAGTGTCTGACAGTGAAAGTGGTGTGTAATGGACCCGAGCGAGAAAGGTCTCTAAAACTTAAAAAAAAAAACATTTTTTTTTAAACAACAATGAAATGTGAACAATGACAATGCCTCAATGTGACCAATAACTTATTGGTTTAAAAGTTAAAAATAGGCTAAGTTGAATAACTATTATTTAACTAGGCCTAAACTAATGACTAATGAAACTATAGGCTGCGGCTATTGGTACTTCACTACGAATAGCCCTCAGAAGGCTATTTGTAGTGAAGTACCAATAGCTATTTGTACACTGACCAATCAGAGCGAGGCATCCCCCCCCCCCCCTGCCCCCTTCCTTAAACATTTGGCTAGGTTTGTGCTTAGGTCCTAGCTGTAATTACATTAACTAGAGTCTAGAGACTACAATTATTGAATTATTATGTATTAATTAGGCCTAGGCCTATATATAATTATTATAAAATAATTAAATTTAAATAAATTATTTAGGTCTATATTAAAATATATAGAAAAGATATAGATATCTAAAGATAATTCAGTATTACTATACTATAACTATCGATAAGAATGGGGGTCTGGCATTTGTGATAATAGTATTAGGGAGGTAGAAATCGCCTTAAAATCTTAAGGATTACCCCTAACAGCTTTTACACAACACGCAAAGGTAGTGATAAAACTTTTGTCTTCTTGAAGTGCATGTTTAGTAACTGAATGTATTATAAGCTGTTGATCAAAAGTAGTTTTAAATTATGTAGTATTTTTTGTTGTTTGTAATAAAAACATGTATCAATACAAGAGATGTTGACCCAGATCAGTTGATTTTTATTATTTTTTATATAAAGCAGCTTTTTGTTTACTACACGTACAAGGTAGCCAAGTTATTTGTCTCTTAGATCTGATAGATATTGTACCATTTCATTTGTTCTGTTTACTGTTAAATTCTTAAACTGTTTTTTGTTATGTTAAATAAAAGTTTGATTTGTTTGCTACTATCCAAAGCTTTAATAGCTGCCTCCAATTCTTTGTAGCTGTCAAAACAGCTACTGAAGGCAAAATGATTAAAAAATCATGACGTACATCGTGTAGCAAACTTTCTTGTCGAGTGTGCGGCTCTAGACTAGAAAGGTTTAAACTGGGAGGGATTTTACACTGCTTTGATTGGTCAGTGTACGGATTCGTTCCGATAATCTGATTGGTCAGTGTACAAATACCTACCGATAATCTGATTGGTCAGTGTACAAATAGCCTCCGTAGCTATTTGTACTTCACTACAAATAGCCCTCTGAAGGCTATTCGTAGTGAAGTACGAATAGACACTCTCAAACTATAACTTAACTAGGCATTTATTTTGGCTGATTTAGGTAATTAAATTATAAATCTATCGTTTTAGGAAATTTAGGTGCGTAAAATCGGCCGAGGCCAGTAATGTGCTAAAAAGTAAAGTTAAGGCTTTAAAATAGAAGTAGATCTATATATAGTATATTGAATATTGTGTCAAACAAAAAGTTAAGCTTTTTTAATCAGATGGCAAATCCCAATTTTTAGAATGCGTCCTACAGAATTCAAATAATACTCTACGCTCTACGTAGTCACTTCGTATTTTTACATTTTACGATCGCCTACACAATGATCCTGGCGTTTTCAAATGGAGGTGGCCTACACATTACGTAACTAAGTACTTCTTCTTAGACCAAGTATTAACTACAACTTACTACTTACTTACTACTGAAGTACTAATTTTATTTACTTAGTTTGATGAGATGGGTTGACATGGATAAAAATTATTAAAAAAACAAGGGTTTTGTTTGTTTTGTTTAGATTTTAGCCACCAAAGCATCTGTTAAAAAAAAACACTATATCAGTTTTTTATACCTGTGTCAGAATCTTCTTAAAAACGGGTGTTAGGTCACTGACTTTCTGGTAGTACCTAGGCCCCATAAACTAATTTTTACTAAATAATGCACATGACTTGCTTATGTTTACCCTAACCCTAGTCCTACCATAGTAATACCAGAAGCGTAACAAACTATTACGTTACGTGACGGGGCGAACTGTCAGCTTTGCAGACACCCCCCCACCCCCTTGGTATAATTATTTAGTCATTTACCTTGGCATAAAAAAAGTGCCCCACCCCATATCACTATGTTAAAAATATATTTTTCAGAAAACCTTCCTGGTATTTTGAATATTTTAAGAATTTTCTCTACAAGTCACATTCAAAATGACAAGATTTTGTCTGAATTTAAACTTCTAAAAGCTATGATTAATAGAAGAAATAGACAACTGAGGAGGGCAAAACCTATGAGATTTTTAAAACAAGTGAGTATATAATTACATAGTAATTGCTTTTAAACAATAAAAGACTTATTTCAATAATCTAATAATTATATTTCACCGAGCAACAGTCCACTATCAATACCTTAATTTTGTAGCGTAACTTCCATTTTGCTTTAGAATGCTTATTTTCTGTATATAACAATTGATTTCCTTTTCTCCTTATTCTGGCATTTGTTATTTATTCATTCCCTGTAAATATATCTATTTAAATTGTTTTATTTTTTTTATGGTCACTTTGATTGCAAAATCTAAAAAAAAAACCACGTTTTAAATCCATGTTTTACTTTTTTTTCAGATTAGAACCTGTTTAAAAAGAGTAAATCAATATGAGAAGGTGTACAAGCTGCTATTAGATATAATGGAAGATGTGCAAAGGTTAAACTAAACTAAATTATGTCCATTATAATATTTTTATAATTTATCTTTTTAACGTGTAGCACATTACACATTAGGCAGTGTTTACCTAGTCCGTTCACCTACCACACAGTAGATTAGCCTACTAAAAGTATATGTTAACATGAGATATTACATATTGTGCGCATCTTAAAACTTATTTCAAAGACTTGTGAAATTATATGGGGCAGCGTAGCTGGATTGTATAGTGTAAAATGCTGACCCAAAAGTATTTAAATTTTGAGGCTCAAGTCAGTAGGGTTTCCTCATCATGCTCACCCAGTTCTGATGGGTAACTTACTCAGGCTAGTGAAAGTAAAGGTGGCTTAACATAGTGCTGACCGCACTATCCTTGCATATGTCCAGATACAGGTGAACTCTACTTCAGCAGGTACAAAAAGGTTGAGCTGTAACGATGTTTTAAATCAGATATTAGTTTTCAAGTGTTGTTTTGAGAGCCAACAGTTACACAAAGTTTGGCTTACTTTAAATGCAATTTAGTATAGCTGAGGAAAAGTGTGTTTCATCTAGTTTGTTATCCTTTGATGTTCTTTAAAAAAAAAAAGTAAACATAGATTTAGTCTAGTATTACTCTAGTTGTGAGACTAGAACTTGTTTGTTTTCTATCAGAGTTTTCACATGTTTAACTAATTGATGATTGATCACTCACAGTGCAATTAAAGAAGTGACATCTGGCAACTCCAGCTGTTATTTACCTGCTCAACAAACATGGACTTACCTTTTGTATTTGCTATCCATTAAAGCTCAGCTACTTGAGAAGACTCAAATATACTGCATTGCAGCCTTTGAATATCCTTTTTGGTTATATTTAAATGTATACTCTTATTTTGAAAAAACTAATTTTTTAACAAATGAAAACACGAAGGTTGTCTATACAAATGCTCCTTAACCAGTTGTTTAAAGAATTAAGTCGACAGTTTGTGATTGGTTGGCTTATACCACAGATGCTGACATTTATGGGAATTGTAGCCAGAATTTGGTATTATTTTATTAATTCATTTTATAAATAAATGGTTTTTAAAGTTTTTGTTTAAGTTTTAGTTTTGACATGCGTTTTCTCTTTGCTTAATCCATAAACATTTTATATTTCAGGTTATTAAGCAGAACATTGGAAGAGAAAACTATTACTTTTTACAATTCGCTTCATCCATTTATCAAGTTAATTGACAGTACTCAGTCAGCATGGGTTTGTAATTGTTTATGTCATTGGCCACTCTATATTTAACCTAAACTTATTTGTTTTTAATTAACAATAAGTCATCATCTTGCATGTGATTTTTTAGATTCATTTACTATGTAAATCACTTCTTAGTAAATATATGTAACATTTATATTAGTGACTTTTTTTAATAGAAAGAACCAGTGTTAAGTCCACAACTGTTTAACCAAGTCCCTAGTGATTCTTCAGTTAATTTAATGGAAAGGTATTTATTAAAATCTTTACATATAGGCCTATCATAACTGCACTTTATAAAAAATTTAATTATACCCTTTTAATAGAAACGCATGATGTATTTATATGTATGTATATGAGAGAGAGAGGGGACCTGTAATGTGTATATATATATATATATATATATATATATATATATATATATATATATATATATATATATATATATATATATATATATATATATATATATATATATATATATATATATATATTTAAAAAAGATGAATTGCTTTCTATTCCTATTAGTTATTCTTCACTCACAGAGCAGTCAAAAACAGTTGGCTTAAAATTTAATGAAACTGAGTCACTAAGCAAGAACTTAGCATTTCAGGCTGAAGAAGATTTAGGGGGTAAGTTTTAAGGCTGTTTTTATCCAATTAGGATAGAATTTAGAAATTTTATGTAGATTCTTGCAGCAGGTTATTATTACTTTCTTGTATATACAAAGTACTAATAATATTCCGCACTATTATGCATATTTTGTTTTGGCGTTCGCTTGGTGCGCAATTCTTTTTTCTACGAGATTCTATTCTATTTTTAAAAGTTTAAGTAATTAAAAATCATGTCTACATTCCGAGTTCCCAACCCATGTAGTGTTATATTCAAGAAAGTTTAGGGGAGATCACTCCCGGTTTATTTTTTTTCCCACGTTTTCTTTAACTTGCTTTCTCTGTTTGTTTGTTTTTCCAATCAAATCTTGCGATCGAAATTTCTGGCACTTCCCAGTTAGCTAGCGCGCTGAAATTTTCAGGGAAGCTTTCTTTTGGATGACCATAGAATATTCAATTGTTATTATTACTTAATTGATCAATGGAAACATTTTATTGAGCATTTTAGACAGCTATATAATCTATATATATAATTCTCCTCTGCGAGCCATTAGAAAAAAAACGAGCGACGCGTAGCTCGCCTCTCTTTTGCCGCGCGCAGTGAAGCGACCGATCCCACGTCGCGACAGGCTTAGGGGCAGATAATTTAGTTTGAACCGACTTTAAACTTACAGGAGGTAACTATTACCACTGGTGGCCAGTTTGGGGGAGACGATATGGTCGAGTGGTTGGGCACACGATTGCTATCCCACTCGACACGGGTTCAAATCTATGTGTTCTAGTCAGTAACCAGCCCTCGTCCTAACCGCTATCAACTAACCTCTGACAATCATTCACTTGCGATTGAGACCGAAGAAGAAAGGGTCTCTCGTTTTTTACGAGTTGTCTTTTTACAAGTTGTCTTCGTTTACCCAAAAAAAAGTGAAAAGATAAAATCGATAGCAAGATTTCAATGCAAACAAACAGACAAAGACTAAAAAGTAGAAAATAATAATCATTAAAAAAGTTTTAAAAACCCACGTTTTCTGATTGAACTAAAAAGTAGAAAATAATTGCTATACATCACAATAATGCAAGCGATCACACTACTATAAGCGATCAAAAACGTGGGGCGCCGTGATTTTCTTACAGTTTCTAATACTGTTGACTCTCTACAAGCTCCCTAATAAAAGTCAATAGTATTTTCTAATCAATAGTAATATAACTTTTACTTTTATTTTCTACTTTTTAGTTCAATCAGAAAATGTGGGTTTTTAAAACTTTTTTAATGATTATTATTTAAAGTATCAGACTGAAATGCGTAAGTTTTTATACACCATAAATCTTTAAAAAATATATTCTTCTCTTATCAGAGCCACTCATGATTCATGAATTGGATGAACAACCAAATCCCAGTACTAAAAATGCACCCAATGAGAGGCCATGGAAAGGAGAGTTAAAAAACGTTAAGAAAAACAAAAAGAGAAAAATCAAAATGCCAGATGGATTGTTTGCAAATGATTCTAATAATTATAAACAGTCAGAAATGAAGGAAACTATTCATGCAAGTTCTGAACAGAAAACAAGTGAAGATGTGAAAAGAGCTAAGGTCAAAAAGAAAAATAAGGAAAAAGCTTTTGATGAAATCAGTACTACAAAAATTGCAGAAGTAAGCAAAGTTAAAAAAACAAACAAGAAAAAAAAAGTTAAACTTACAAAACACATTCTAAGATCTTAAATTGAGAGTTAATTAAAAAAAAAGTCTCAAGAAAAACTTAGTACCTGATGATCAAGAAACAACCTAATAAACTGCTGATACATTAAATTTTTTTTTAAACCTGAGAGGTTTGTTAGTGACTTTATTTGGTTGTTGTGAGTTAACTTTTTCATTTTAATTCATAAAAAAGGGTATTTAATGTTTTGTAAGGTTTCAAACTCAACTATTTAGTTTTTACTGATTATAATCTTCCTTATATTACAAATATTAAAAGAGTGCAAGTTAGTCATAACATTTTGCCATAGGACAAATATTAGCATACTGTTCTTCATTTGCACACACCTTTATATGTTGATAAAGACAAAAGCAATTTAGTGATTTGCAGTAGGCCTACCATTTTTAATATTTATGTACAAATAAAAACCAACTAATTCTTGCTAAGTACACATTTTTAATAAATTACTATCAAAAGTCTAACCAATCTTTCATATAAACACATGTTTTAGGGGAAATGAGACCATCTACTGTGCATCTTGAAATAACCTGAAAAGTAGGAATGCAACCATTTTAATTCTGATGCACACAAAGTAATTTGCCCTTAGACTTTATTAAGAAAGAAGCTTCACTTACTGGACAGACACCACAAGGTGTCCTTACTAAAGCAGAAGTATCAGACAAAGGCTTGACAGCTCTGTAAATTTTTACAGATGTATCTCCTGATGTCATGCCACTTGCCCCTGTTGTTCGTGCTGACAACTCAGCCTTGCCGTCAAATATTAAAGTATCAAGAATAGATTCCATATCTTTCACAGAGAGATTAACCTGATTAGAACAAAATATGCACGGCAATGTATGTACATCCTCCTTTTTCTTACTTTATGGTACAACAAATTTTTGTGTGGTAATCTTGAAACTACTTTATATATAGGGCCTATTACATTTAGTTAATCAGAGCAAGAGGACATACCTTACTAATGCCCAAATTAGTAATATATTTAAGGACATCTTCAGCTGATGCATAAGAAGCTTGTAATCTTGTCCATGGTTCTTCTGGGTATACCTTGTGGGCATCAACAACCTGATACAAAGCATATTATGTAATACATTGCTTTTGAACTACCCACATGGACGTTATTTTAAATTTTTTAAAAATAGGATGGTGATTAAATAAATAAAATAACAGAACAAAAAAAGCTAGTCTTAAAAACCCAAATCTCACAATCAGTACCTACCCTCTGCTGCAAAAATTTATGGGCTTGAGCATTAAGTATCTCTACAAATTCAGATTCAAATTCGGAAGCGCTGTACCAAGGTCCACCTGTCACAGATTGATCTGGCTCTAGGTTATATAGCATATAAACCTTTTTCTTGGATGCCTATAAGAATAATCATTTGAACTCAAAGGTTAGACAGTTTCCATTACAACCAAACACTCCTAAAAATAAATCACTGTGGATTTAATTTCTACTTGTGCTCCCTAGTTTGGTAAGATATTGGAAGACACATATCATGTTATTTTTTTTATCAATGTCCATATTAAACAAAAAAATTCACTTGAAGTCTCTTAAACTTAATTTTGATAACACATTGAAATTACAATTACACTAGTTATTTTTCTAAAATGGCATCACAAAGCATTCCTAAGTGATTTCAAAATTAATGACTCACATTGACTGACTTGACAGCTTTTATTAGTTTCTTGCTCTCCAAGTTCTTAAGGATCTTGTTCAAAACTTGAATATTTTTCAAATTACTTTTAATTCGGATATCTCTTGTCCATATACCTGTATTTTTAAAAGATTAATGTTTAGAAAATAGCACATCATAGGTAATGTATTCCGAGATCTATATATATCAAACTAAGTTAAAGCAAGCAGCATTTAATTCTACTATAATTTTCTATTTAAATAATTTTACCTTTATTTTGGGAATCTTTTATTATCTGAAACACAACTTTTTCTTCTGTATCAGCACCTTTTACTTGACTATGAAAGAGAGGATTAAGATTTTTTTTAATACAATGATTAACATATGACCAAGACAAAACTTTTTATAATATTTAGATTGTTTCAAGGATATTAGCTTCTTGTTTACCATTGATTTTTTTCTTCAAATCCATTGCATTCATTTTACCTCAGTTTTTGTAATATCAGCATACCTTGCAGAATCTGGATCCTTTAATCTATATAGAAGCTTTGCCCCACTTTTTAAGAGTTCAAGCCGGTTCTGAAAAGAATAAGACATTTGTATGTTATTAATTGAGGGTTTATGTGACCATAATTATTAATCTTTATTAAGGTATTGATAATTATGAGGTTAAATTAAAGTTGGAATAATTTCTAGTAGCATCTATTTCAATTTTTACATGAATTAAAAACCATTATGTGTTGTTAACTGACAACCTGAGAAACAACAGATCACTTACAGTAGACAATAGTCTATTAACAGCAGTAACTCTCTGCTGAATGTCACACTGAGGTACAGCCAATTTGATAACATCATCAGTTATGCCTTTGGGATTTTGCCCACAAAGTTCTATAATTCTGTGAAAAAAACACTTAATACCATTTAGTAGGGGAAAAAATATTGTACAACAAACCTTATTTATTAGAAATGGTTACTTATGTAGCTAAACAGACATTAATTGGTATGAAGCTGTACCAATAAAAGACTTATGGTTTCTTAAACTCTGCTACACTTCACTCAATCTCAGTTATATAGTTCTAGTTCTAGAATTGGAAAATAGTTTGATCTTTCTTTTATTTTCTTAAGAAAAACAGTTTCAATCCCATTTTTGCATAAGGGGGGGGGGGGAGATTCTATAAATAGATCTTTTTTTTTTGTAGGACCTATATATGAAGCGATAAGCAGTTCTACTCTCAGCGTTAATAATGACCTAGATTAGTTTAAAGTACTTTAAACTCTATTAAAAGTAAGCTACCCAGTGGTTGTGATTCAAGCAGCTTCTTTTTTCAATGTAAATTTAGGGCTCATTAAATTAAAGTTAGGGCAGGGGCTGAATGAAAGGTTGTTCCTAGTCAGTACTAGGCACGTCCTAGTGAAATTTCACGATGTAGATCTAGTGTCTGTTATTAAGATCTAAAATTTTTCTAGATCTAGCCCACTTATTACTTATTTAACAAAAATATTTCAATTATTATTTATTATTATTAATCCCGAGATTACATGGGCCATTTTGAGGAACTGGTGGTAGAGCCTATATAATATATATATACTAGATCGGTAATCTATCATTTTAGGTGCTTAAAATCGGCAGAGGCTAGTAATGTGCGAAAAAGTTGCCTCATTGGTTAAGGCTTTAATAAAAGTATATTGTAATATATTTGTGTAAAATATTATAGATAACTTAATAATAAACCAGTAATAAATGAACACCAGCGATGTTTCCAACAGATGCAACCATGCTCATTTACTATAGCAGCCATCTTGTTTAAGTTTTATTTTTATAGACTTATAGCGCGAGATTCAGGCAGAAGTCACTCTATTTTACAAATGGCCGCTGTTTATATTTAATATAGCAAATCTTGCTTACAACACTGCTGTTTAAAGTTAATTTCTGGCCTATATTGATAATATTGATATTGATATATTTATATTTTATAAATATTATTTAGCCATTGATTTAGGTTTATTATTCATTTATCTATAATATTTGACACAAACATATCACAATATCAATATACTTCTATTACAGCCTTGATAATGAGATTAATGAGGTAACGTTTTTGTACATTAATAGCCGCAGGCGATTGTACGTACTCAAAACGATTGATTACCAAATATTCCTATGCATATAGTGACAGCCTACACATTTAATTAATCCTAAGTTAATTTGCTTTCTCTAAATATTTAATACATAAAAGTATTAACAAATATCATGCAAATTTATTTTTGTGACTTTTTATCCTGTGACTTTTTTTGTGTTTTTTTTCCTGTGTTTTTAGTTGTTTTTTTCCTGTGACTTTTTTTCCTACAATCCGTAGAATATACACGAACCCCGCCTAAAAGCAAAGTAATATAGATCTAGTAATTTAGAAAATTAATCTTGATGATTGTTCTAGGCCTAGTTTAATAATTAGGTACGAATGCTACTAACTTTGCTTCTATGTCAACCTCTTCAGCAGGTTCTTGTTTGACCATGGGCGCAGCCATATTTTTTGGTTACACTAATAGCCGAGAAAAAGGATTACACTTTCATTGTAACGCATCTAGATATCTAGATTAATAACCAAACTAGATCTATGGTTTGTGCAATAAAAATGCTTAATTCGCTTAACTGTGAATGCAGTAGCAGGTGGTTTATGAAACTGAATCAAGATACTGGTTTATGATTTTGGCAAACAGTTATATGACTGTTGGTCATGCTGGCTTCTTAAGATAATAATATTATAACCATAAACAATAACACTAATTAGTAATTAGGCCTAACATATAATAAAAGTTTTACTTTACATGTACAACTTATTTTAATTTATTTATAATGAAGCAAGAAGACGGAGTTTCAAGAAGACGGAGTTTGTTTTCACAAATTTTTCAGTTAAACGTTTTCAACAAGGAACTCGTTTTAAGTATTTTGTTAGTGAAGCATCAAACGCGCACCACATAAGTTCCGAGTTCCGCGGAGCATCACAATTCATACAGTTGTGATCGCCTTATTATAGCAACAAGTTTGCTTTGAGTTAGGGTAAAAGAGGAAATTTTTTTTTATTTACGTAGGTCCTACGGTACAGTGGCGTATGCATGATTTTTTCATGTGGGGAAGGTGAATTCAATGGCTGAGGGCGATAAACAGAGAGGATGAGCTCAAAATGGATCTGGATATGTACATGACATGAACGTCACAGTAAACTGCGGGCGTTATGGACGCCAATGTGTATGTAGGAGCAGAGACAGATATGCGCTTTGCTAGTAAGCCTTGCTAACATTATATTATATTAAATGGAAAAGCTGTAGATTGTCTTTTTTCACTCAGGGAAAAGCGGTATATCCATCAGCATTTTGTGGTTTTATGAAGTAAGAAACTATAAGCATAAAGCGACATGAGCACTATGTTGCCAATAGCTTTAACTTGATGTGAAGCACATTTCGTTTGGGGGAACATGGAGGCTAAAGGGGGGGGGGGGGATTAAGCATTTCCTCCAGCGTCAATATGCTTAACACAAATAGTTTTTGCGTGTGAACAGTCATCTAGTCACTAGCGTGGTTGACTATATAACCAGTGGCGGACTTATTAAGGTCACAGGGGCACTTACTTACGGGATCCCAGATTTTATCGCATCAATGACAACAAGTTTCTTTTTCCTGCCGATATCTTGGTAACTACATCATTTTATTATTTTTATAGTCCATAAGCTTGTATTTTCAGATAATAAATTGCAAGTCGCCTATATACTATTGGTTTGTAATAATTTTAAAATTATCTAATTGTATTTAAAATTACTTAGATACTTTTGCATTGTCATAAAAAAATCTAACAGTGTGCTACATTTCAGCCCAATCAAACAATCCGAGTTGGGTTAAATGATATTCTAACACTTGTGAAGCCATACTTAGTGAACAAAATCAAAGCTTGACGTATTTTAAAAAAATCTAATTGAGGGTAAATAACCAAGGTAGGCAGAATTCGAGGAAAATATTAAATGAGTAGTTTCCCTTTATATGGATATCTCCGTAATTTTTTTTTTTTTTTTGCCAGAAAAGTGAAAAATTGTAAATCCAGATGGGTTCTACACACATTGATAAATCGATCACTTTTCATATTTTTTAATGGTAAAAAAAAAATCACAAATTCCCCCTTATGTGGCAGGCCACCAAAAAATTAAAATAAGCAACAATTCAATGATTACAGAAAACAATTACATTACCCAAAGTATATTGATATACCAATGTTTATGTATTACTTCTTTCCTTGACGAATTACTAGTAGTAGTATTGGAAGCCCTGCTAGGACATAAATCAGACAAAATAAACTAAGTTTGACACAACACTATAGAACAATGATAAAACAAGATTAAAATGTCAATAATTTTTATTTAAGTTTCAACATTCTTAATTCTTAAGGCTGGAAAATAAAGCAAACAAGATAATCTTTTATAAATATACAGGTCTGTACATTAGTGTTTTATGAGTTACATAAAAACAAAAATAAACAATCATCGATAATGATAATTAATATACTGGTACACACATTTCTCTGTGTAGGTATGTTCAGAACTTTTCCTTGGTATAGCTTGCTTTAGGACAAAGTGTTTATATGAAACTTTTACAGTGCGCTTACCTGCATAGGAATTTGTTGGTACCAGTAACAGATATGAAATGATCAATAATTTGTATATTTTCTATTTCTGAATATTAAATATTTTTAACACTCTATGAAAGCACCAAAAACAAAAGAGAATTAAAATAAAAGAACAGACACTTATGGGGAAAATAAAAGCTAATACTCATTTTGAAAAATGTTCTACCAGGGAATAAAAGAAAACAAAATACTCAAATGTAGTTAATTTGAGAATCAATCAATGGAGCTGTCCCTGTAAACTTACCATTCATGTATTTTATATTAATTACATTAAATTACAATAAATTACTTGTTGTTTGTCATTGCTGAACAATTGTTATGATTTGCCTATATAGGGTAAACTATCAAAATCCTGGGTGGGGGTGGTGGGGGAGGAGGGTGGGGAGGAGGGGGGGGGAGAGAAGGGAAATCTGTAAGTATGAATCAATGTTTATTTTGCAAGTTTTTACTTTCTTGTATATCAAGTATTGTGAAAGTATTATAATGGTATTGTAATCGTATTTTACACCTCCCTGAGTTGGAAAAACAATTTTGCAATCTTGTCTGTGTATGTCTAACACGATAACTTGGGTACCGATAACTTGGGTACCGTTACAGCTAGGTGTTGAAATTTCATATATAAGTAATATATCAAATTTGTAGTTCTGTATCAACTTTTCAACGATTACCGGTAACCGGAAGTGGCACTTATTCTACTTTTAATTTTTCAAAAGCCTATAACTTGAGTACTGTTTGAGATAGATTAATGAAATTTCACATGTAAGTAAAAGATCTAATTCTCTGCCTTCTAAGTTCTATCAAAATTTGAGTAATTTTCATTGACCGGAGGTAGAAATTTACGCTATTTACGATTTCTAAAAAAAAACCGCATGTGAATTTATAAAGTACTAATAATATTCCGCACTATTATACAGGTTTTTTGGCATTCATTTGGTGCTCAATTCTTTGTACTACGAGATTCTATTTTAAAAAGTTTAAGTAATTAAAAATGGATTAAAATTAATGTCTATATCCCGAGAAAGTTTAGGCAAGATCACTTCCGGTTTATTGAGGATAAAAATAACCCTTTGGGGTGGTGCAACATAACAGAATTTAAATGTGTAAAGAAGGAACTGGGGAGGGGGTAGATAAGAATTAGTGAAACCCACAAAAGGTGACAAAGGAATAGAAATACAAAGCAAACCAAATTGACCTAAAAAAAAATCACTGCAGAATTTAAATAGAGATGCTGGAACTGGAATGATTAGCTTGGCCAAAATTTAAGTATGTCTACAAGAGATCTATTGGTACTAATGTGTTGATAAGAGTGTGAACTTGTTTGCTCAGTGTTCACTAAAGAGAGATAAAGAACATGAATTTTAAGTGCAGTACCAATTGATTTTGTCTGTTATAAAATTCATTAACAGGCTTTTAAAAAGGAGTAATTATATCACTTTGCTTGGCTTTATTAAAAATTGTTGGACTATAGGCTTAATATAAATAAGGGTAGAGATATTTTAAATGATCATTATGTTTCATTATCAGTGCAATCTCAAACTTTTTAAGATGTTTCAATCGCAGCTCAAATTGTGTGGCTACTACCACATATGTATCACTAGCTTACTTAGTTATAGTGAGCATTAAACATGTTTTGTGTCATGCCACAGCCATGATATAACCTTGACCAGGGAAAGCTCCACTGTAATGATTAATTAAATTCATAAAACATCTGTGTTTTATTATACACAGACTCATCGCTTCTCAACCAATGTCTGTAAACAGACAGTATTTCAAAGGTACATCACCTGTAAAAGAAAAGAAATGTATATTAGATACATATATAATAAACTCTTACTTTCACTTTCAATAAAATTGTCTGTAAAAAGCTTTGAACATTCCACTACATTATGAAAGTATTTTAATTTTTAGTGACAAACAAATGAAGGACAAATAAAACAGGACAACATTGGAAATCAACGGACCATTATTTTTGTTTGGAGGAATGAATCTCCAAAAGATGTTTAGTTGCAAAATAGACCATCCGTTCAAATTCAGCAAAAGCATTAGTGATGCCTCTGTAATAAGTACTGAAATGTAAATATGCTCATTTATTACAAATTCAATACCATGTTAAATTGCTATAACAGACAAATATTTAAACTAAAACACACAATTATTTCTTACATTTCAATACAGTTCATTAAATATATTACAAGTTTGTTATTAACACAATTACTATTTAAATTAAACATTACATAAAAATGCATCAAGCTCAACTTTAAAGTGTGTAGATTGAAGTACTTTTATTTTATATACAAGAAATGATGTTCAAAATCCTATATATGACAACCAGTTTAAAAATAAAAATCCATCTAACCTAACAGCATGGTATTAAAAAGTAACTGTTCAATACTTGTAATAAGTGCCAGTAAACAAAGAATTGTATTATTTTACTGCATAGCATATGTTTTAGTAATTTAGATTCTAGATCAATTAAATAATTTTTTCTTTTTCAGGATGTTTCTAAAGTTTGATTATTAAAATCAGGCTACAGAGCTTATAAAAGAACAACATTTAAGTTTTAAAATAAAAATATTACTAATACAATCAGAACAAAATTAGAAATACATACTTAATGTTTCTAAACCATGATATTAAGCCCTATCCAAATGAATTATATTAAGAATGCTGAATATATCCATTTTAAAATGTGTATAGTATATATTTTTAGAAATTATGATATGAATAGGTTGGTATCTGCAAAGGTCACTCTGTAGTGTTAAGTATCACTTTATAATAACAAAAATGTAACATTTCTTTAAAAAATTTATTTTTATTTTTTTTGGAATGCATTAATGATTATTTAATTATTTAGTATTTTGTGAGGTATTTTAATTTTTTTTTAATAATAGTTTTTACGTTACTTTATTTGTTCATAGAAATTAAGTGTTTATACAATACAATGAAAAGTGGAGTAAAACACTAAACACAAAATGTACAGCTTGTTGCCTCTTTTTTTATATCTTAACATAATTATGATCTAAAACTACTCCTGACTGAGCTCTAGAACTACACAAGGAGCAAAATTCTAATGATACATTATTTCCAGAAACATGAAAACAAATGCCAGGGCTAACATTGGAATCCAATTGTTGCTTAGGATTACTATTTAGTGACTTTAAAGAACTATCAGACTCACTGTCACTTACATCTTCCACATTTAAGAAATATTCATCAAGATCTTTCTTACAACTCTTATTTTTAATTTTGTCTCTCTTATTGAACTTCATGTCAATTTGTTGTTTCAACTTTTGGCAAGTAGGTCTATCATGACTCATGCTTGCAGTGTCATATGAGTGGTTTACACTTATTTCTTTTTTAGATGATCGCAAAGAATAAGCAGCATTTTTTATTTTTTTTGCAGGAACTTGGTCAACAGCGTTATTGTTATAACTCTTTCGTTTTAAAGTGTGAGAATTATTAACCTCTTTTTTAACTGCCGAATTATTAGCTGTAAAAGATGAGGACAATTTGATGCCAGGTGTCTTAAGCACATTATTGAGAATTGCTGACAATGTAGTTTGATTAGCTATAACACTTTTTAAATACGACACTTCTGTTTCAAGAGATTTTACACAACTTTTACAGTTTTCGTTCTCTTTTTTTAAGTATGCATTATCTTTTCTTAAATTTGAAACAGTTTCTTCTAAATCTGCGACATATTTTTTCTTTTTCAATCTATTATCTCTTGCAGCCATCGCATTTTTGGAGTTGCTGTCACCTCCAGCTCTTTTATTTCCTAAATAAACTGCAAATGAGTTTTTATTTTTCTGTGGGGGGAATGTAGTCTTTGAGTTTGACTGATTCCAGAAGATACTGTCGCATGATGAAGTTACGTCATCTGAGTCATGATTATCAATAGTCTGTGGATCATGGTAAGCTTTGCTACTACTACTTTTAAAGTTGTTATCAACGAAAGTTTCATTCACTATCAGTTTTTCCCCAACATCACTTTTTTCAACATCTGAAAAGCTAGATCCCGAAATATAAATGTTACAGCTTTTACCTGTTTCTGCATCATCCTTGTTAAATGCTGGCTGGTAAGTAAATTCAAGTGATTCTTGTAAATTTATATCATTCACATTATTAAAATGCTCACTTATCAGGCCATTTTCGTATTCCTCTTCTTCATGTTGCAGATATAATTCTTCTGAGTCTAGTGTAGTAAATAGTTTACTTTGCTCATTGGCAGTTAGGGGGAAATTTTGAAGAAAAGTGGATGGCATGTCATTATTATAAACTTCATTGAAATCCATTTCAAGCTTAGACACAGTACAGTACAGTTGAGTACAGTACTCTGTAACTGTAACTTGTAGATCTACTTGTAAGGGTGATATCCACCGTTTCTGTCACTGTCCGATGGCTGATGAGTGCAGCAGCCCAGCTGTTTGTTCTGTTACTCAGTTCGAAAAAAAAATGTGCTTTGTTTTTTAACACTGAACTTTTGTGTAAGACAAATCAAATGACAAATTTGTCAAAAGTCGAAGTCAAATCAAAACATCAAATTTTAATTTTGCCCACAGCAGTCACTTCGATCTAGAATCTAGAGACTATTGCTAGGTCTAGATTCAAAGGCAAACGCTTGAATTACACACTGATATTTGCAATGCTAGATCTATGTCTAACACTTTTCTTACCAGCTATAAGTAAAACGTAGGGCTGTAGAGATTCACAAACTGATAACTGTTTTCAACTATTCACCGAAGCCATTTTTTTCGTTCAATAAACGTTTCAGTTTCAGTTACGTCATCATTTTATGTGTAAAATCCGAGTTTCTCTTGTCTCACAGTAGTCCTGGAAACAGCATAAAGCGTTAAAGTTAAAGCAGCAGTTTCTAGCAGTTAGCACCGCGTTCAACGAAGACGAGTCATACAAAAATACTACCTACCAGTATATAGATTTCTAGACTTAAATTTGAAAACAGTTTACATCACATCATAATTACTTAACGTTTTGACTCAAGGCAACTAGAATCTAGATCTACACTTCTCTAAATCTAATGGACTCGATTTTGGGCGGGCCCTTCAATCAGTGTTTCTTCCAGACTTTTTTCTCCGGGGGTGGGGGGGGGGGGCACTTGACATTTTCAGGAAAGGGGGGGGGGGGGCGGACACTGTTAAAAGTATATATTTTCTATATAAATTATATAAATTTCATTTCGTTCGGGGGGGGGGGGGCGGTCAACATTTTTCGGGGGGGGGGGGGGGCGGACACTAGTTAAAGTGTATGTTTACTATATAAAATCCCTCTCGTTGGATACCTGAAAGAAACAATTTGAATGCGCATTTGGCCTTAATGTTAATACGACTCCTTCAATCTCAATCTTTGTCTGCTCACCCGTCTTTGTGCATCACGATTCGTGCGTTTATTTTTTTTTAATCGTTTAGCCGTATGGGGGGGGGGGAGGAGGGGGTTCTGGTTGTGACTGATTCTGACAACTTCTGTTTTAGTCTATTGATTTAGACGTCTACTTTACAAGCATCGTTGGGTACCTAAGGAGTATATATTTTTTCAAATAAAAAGGCAATACACGTTAAAAACACACGGGAGCTGCGTGGACAGTAAACAATAAGAAAGCAAACCATGGAGAGGAAACGGTGGTAGATAGGCACACGTTTAGAAAGAAAGCTAACAACAGAGCCAGCCAAGCTCTGGAATGGAAAGGGCAAGCGACGCATCGGTCGACCCAGGAAGATATGGCGACGTCTCGCTCAGGAATGAATTAAGAATAGCTGAGTGGCAGGGGACCGTGGAGAGTGAAAAAGTTTTTACAAAGGCTCTATTCTCCGAAAGGAACGGAATGGGAAAAATGATAATGGTGATTAGAAGCTTCTTCAGATAGTTGCTTAGGTTTTGTTTGAGGATGTTGTTTGATAGGAGGAAGGTATCATCTGCAAAATCAAGGTCTTCCAGCTTTTTTTTTGGTGAAGTTACACTGGTTCCTGCTTGCAGTCTTCTGTATGATCCAGTCAAGAGTCTCATTGGTGTAAGCATGCATCCCTTACTCCTGTCTTCACCGTCATATGGTTTGTTTGTTTTAAGCCTATCTGATTCAGGCTGCATACCTAAGTCCTTATATACAGGCCTATCGCTGTTTGTATCTAGCTTATAATTATAAATGACAACTAGAAAACTTGCATGACTACGTATTTGATACTGATATGTTGGGGGGGGGGGGGGGAGGAGGTCAGTGACGTCTGCATCAACCTAAAATAGCAATTTTTCCTATTGATTTCTAAACTAATGTGAAATCGCAATGACCATGACTTCTTTTTTTCGGCCGGGAGGGGGGGGGGGGGCGAGAAGTGTGTGTGTTGGGAGGGGGGGGGCTATTCTTGTAGTGTAAATAATGATATGGGTACTATCGAATTGTTTTTCGGCTCATGTGGGTTCTTTTCAAGTATTATCTCTAAAAATACAATTGAAAGGAATAGTATCCTTATCTAATTTCAGCTATAATATTCTGATCGATATCATGGTAGATTACATAAACTATGAATACCATGTCCATTATAAAAATTTAAGTTTCTTCCAGGCATCTCTTCGAGGTGGGGGGGGGGGGGGTTAAATTTTTTCGTTTTTTCGGACCCCCACCCCCCCCGGGTGGACGTCATAAATGGGTGACCCCTTATAATTGCATTGAAAACACGAGTGAAATTAGATCATTAAGCCTACTGTGTAAATTAGTTTGTAATAGAAACAACAATTTCCATTTTTGTTTAATTGGGAAATGTATTTACTCTCTATAAGAGAAAAATTTGAATTAAAAAGCACTTTAGATACTTGAGAGCAACATAAAATTCATTTACTTAAGATATTAGCTATTGATTAGTAGGCCCATAATAATTGCGGGTGAGTGATTCATTGTGATACACCAGATAGCTGCATAAACTGTGTTTCTTCCAAACTTTTTTCTCCGGGGGGGGGGGGGGAGAGATTACATTTTTACACTGATAAAAGTAAATGTTTTCTTTATAACTTCCATTTCGTTGTGGGGGAGGGGGGGGGGACAGTAAACTTTCTCGACCCCCCCCCCCCCCCCCCCACACACACACACAAAAGATGCCTGGAAGAAACTACATAAAACATATTGAATATGGTCCGAAATTTGTAAAAATATTTGTTCATGGTCTGGAAGTATTTTTTAAAAAAATCATTGTCTTTTCCGGAACGTAGGTCTTCGTAGATCTTATAGTCTTATAGCTTACGTCTCATCCATTCAAGACCCATCACCACACACACACACACACACACACACACACACACACATAATGAATTTTAGATCCCCCTTTCCAAAAATAGGGATACTAATTAAACAACGTGTTGAGTATGTATGTAGCTTTGCAACGCTAAACAATTTTTAGCCTAACATACTATACTGATTTAGCCTATTCTTTGCCAAATTGTCTGTTATTAAATATTTAAAGTAGAATCTGCAAGGTGTTGAGTAAAATATAGCAAATCTTTAATAAGTATAAATATGAGTTGGGCAAAATATAGCAAATCTTTAATAAGTTTAAATATCAGTAGGCACTTGTTTCATTTAATTTATAATGATCCTCCTCCCTCAGTGTATTAAGAAAAAACGATGCGGATATTAAACTTGTTTATTTTTTATTGAGAAGAACACCTTTACAGTGTTGTTTATTTTTTAAAAATATTTTTGTACAGTCATGCAGCATTATAATAAGTCGCAAAGCAACATTGGGTTCACAACCCATTACATAGATCCATTTCTATTTACATTCATCACTTAGATCGAGGCCTTCATCCCAAAGGTGCGAACTACACAGGTCCATTGATACAGTAATCTAATTCAGAGTTTCTTCCAGGCATCTCTTCGGGGGGGGCGAAGCCCCCCCGAAAATTTTTTACCGCCCCCCCGAACGAAATGAAATTTATATAATTTATATAGAAAATATATACTTTTAACAGTGTCCGCCCCCCCGAAGAAAGTTTACCGCCCCCCCGAAGATTTCAAGTGCCCCCCCGGAGAAAAAAGTCTGGAAGAAACACTGATCTAATTACCTGCTAAATTCACATGAAAAAAAAAAAAAACAACAACCCACGACTCCACGAGGACTGCTGTTTATGTTTAGATATAGAATCGTCACATTGTGTATTTTTGAAAAGCTTTTTTTTTCAGCATTTAGATCTAAAATTTTAGATGTTAAACGTTTATATATCCGAAACTCGTCTTCCACCTTCCCAGCCCACAGAAGTCCACAAAAGTTGACTTTTTGGACCCCCCACCCCTACCCCGTACAAAATGCGCGTGGTCCCCAAAAATTAATGACTCCTTTGAAAATCTAGATAATATTAATTATAGGTCTAATATTTTTTATACTCTATATTTTTTATACTCTACTCTAGATATTCTAATATAACAGCTTAAAAATATTTAGAAAGAATTAAAATTGAAAATAAATTAAATGGACTAGTAAAATAGATAGATTCGGGAGCAAAATATTTTTAAGAGGAAATTCTGTTTAATTTCTGTTTAATTTCGACTAAAAATAATGTAGCCTATCTTTTAACACGTCGGTAAACTTGTTTAAAACTAAAGAGATAGCAGCTTCAGCTAGTGAAACAGTTATAAGAAGTTATTTTCAGAGTTGCTTCCCCAGGTTGGTAATTGTTTAGCCTGACGTCACTATACTGTACGCCATATTTGTGGGACGGGCCAAATTATTGTCAACACCACTATCAAATGATTAGTGTGCTTATTTAATAAATTCCTTTATATCATAAAAGTAGGTTTTTTGAGCTATCTTGTTATAAAATATTCGAATATATCATAATAAAATATAAATCGTATCTATACCTACGTGTTTCATGCAAGCTATTTAAAATATTATTAAATGATATTCAATAAAATAACTCCAAGCGATGCATGTGAGTGAAGTGAATGTGTGAATCACTGAATGAGGAATCACTGAATGTGATGAATCAATGTAAGAAAAATTAATAAGTTCAATTCATTTTTATGAATGAGTGCAGATGAGTCACCACACCATGTTTTATAAATTAATTAAAGGGTAACCAAGACATAACAGACTCGATCTATGAGTTGAAGATAAAGATAGGCCCTACTCTTTTTTTTTTTTTACTAACTTTGACTTTACACTAAAAATACACTTGCATATTCCTTTATTCCAACAATTGAATTTTAAATTAATAGAAAAGTTAAACCTGAACCTGGTCTCTCAGTTTCTTAGAATTAGACTTAATTAAAAAAATAATTAGACATGTTTTT